CCCATTAATCAACTTAACCAAATAGAAAAAGGCCTAAGAGTAAATAAACCAACAAGTGGTTTTTGCATTAAAATATCACTCCAAAGTAAAAAAATTGCTTTTAAATATTATTATAAACTACATACAAGCATATATAATTTAAAGTTGTATTTGGGTTTCCATAAACTATTAAAGTATTTACTTAAAAGATAATAGTTTTAATGTTATTCTACCAAAGCAATATTGTATAACTACGGCAAAAATGTTTAAAAAGAATACTGCTTACATGCTAACTAGCTTTATTGACCTCTTCGGACACCATAAAGCTTTATATAGGTGTGAGAGGAGGATTTATGAAAGCTGTGACAACCTCATTAAGCAGGGTACAGACCAAGTTCGCGAGCTGTTCGCGAATAGTTCGCGAACACTTTTCCGAGCTTAGTGTGTACGCGAGTTCGCGAACAGTTCTAGAACAGCTCGGCTGTTCGTTCAAGTTCCGGGTCGAGTCGGTAACTTCAAAGGGTTTGTTCGCGAACACGTGGCGAGCTTAGTATGTGTGTGGACGTTCCAGAGTAGAACCTCTGTGGTTTGGCATTTATTTATTTAGTTTATGCTGGACAGTATAAGTTTTTAACAACGTATACATTATAATTTACCTTAATAAATAAAAAGCTATTTTAAACATGGACTGGTCAGAGGACGATATTGTTTGGTTAATCGAAGAATATCGCCTGGTCTTAGATTTCTGTTTTTTTGACTCAACATTTGATTTTACTAAAAAATAGGCCGCACAAGCAATTATTAGATCGCTTTCTTTATCGCTTTGCAGCGATGACATTATTTTTATTTAAATGTTTAAATTTGAATTTGGAAATTATGGAACCCTCGACGAACTCGGACGAACTTGCTCACCGAAACTGTTCACGTGCAAACTTTTCTAGTGTGGACGGTACGTTCGCGAGCTGCTCGGGTTCAATTTGGAAACTGTTTTAGAGCAATTATAATAAAACCTAGGTTTTATTATCGATTCAAAAATAGGCCTTGAAGGCAATAAAAGGATTCTTCTTTTTGGTCCTAAAAAAGTCTTCATCCTGCTGTAACAGCGCATTAAAGTATGTACAAATAGATTTGAGGTGTAATTTTAAAAGAGGCCCTATCGGTGCTGTTAAAGCAATATTAAAACTTAATGTGTTACTTGGGATGGCATTCACTTCAAGCTTTAAGGCTCAAAAATTATAGTTCACTGTGCATTTATTGTGAATTCACAAAATTATATTAGTACAGTTATCTTAGTCAAAAAAAGGGATCAACCTCGGAATCTAACGGAATAGGCTGAATTTTTGTTAAAACCTTTATTTTAGCATTACAAATGTTGTCTCAAAAGTCACATATGCCAACGTGTGAGCGGCCTTCGATATTCAAGGTCAAAGGTCGCAAAAATCAGTTTTTTGAGAATATCTCGTTTTCTCTGCCTCTTATCGTATTTGCATTTATTATAAAAGTTGTAGAGAATAAAATTCTCTACAAATTTTGTTTACAAAATTTTTTATACGTCGAACCGTTTTTGAGATAGAGGGCGCAGAGTGTGGAGCGCTCAGCCATACGTACCTTTAGCGCAAGGTAAATCGCGAATCCCAATATATTAAACCGTTTTTTTAATTAATTATATAATAAATATTACTAAAATAAAAATTTAATACCTTATTTATATTTCTTTTAAATCAAACGACACGACGAAAGGTCGAGCAGGTAAGACGACGAAAAATTAAATAATAATGCAAAAAATCTCATTAGCGATGCAGGCTAGCTACTGTGTCGCGCGTTGGAGGGAGGCGAGGCCACGCCCCATATATATATAGGTATATTCGGTTTTATTCTGTACGGGCTGTATATTTTATCTTCATATACATATATCTTATATTTTAATTTAATATTAATGAAGGATAATTGGATTATTTATATCAATATTTTTATTATTATTATTATTATTAATCTTTATCTTCTTCATCCTCGTCTTCTTCAGGTTGGCCAGCAATTTCAGACTCATTCTCATCATCACTCTCCTCGTTATCATTTACATTAATTGTCATATCTTCAAAAACTTACTTATAACGCGTTTGTACTTTGCATATTTTTTTGCCTTTGTTGCCTCATCTGCGAATTCACCACAAAATAAGCACAATATTTTAAAATCAAACACATCATTCCCTTTTTTACGAGGTACAGTTGATGACGTTGAGGGTCCAGTGACTGGACTCCAGTCTCTTCAAGGCGACGTTTTGCAGCAAAACTTTTGCTGCTGAAATTTTACTAGTACGCTATATTTATTATTTTATTATTTGTTATTTTAAAAGCAATATCTGGATCCAAGAGATGACCAGAGACATATTCAAGGCAAATTCATTTAATGTCTTTTCTTCTTAAAATGCATTTATCATTAATTAGAATAACATTAGAATATATTTAGAATGATTCATTTCAGTATTTAATTATTTGTATGTCAAAAGTAAGTAATATTTAATGACTGGATATTTGTTTTAAAAAAATATATAAAAATAAATATAAGGTATTAAATTGTTATTGAAGTAAAATTTAATAAATAATTAATTAAAAAAACGGTATAATAGATTGGGATTCATGATTTACCTTGCGCTAAAGGTACGTATGGCTGAGCGCTCCACACTCTGCGCCCTCTATCTCAAAAACGATTAAACGTATAAAAACTGTTTTAAACAAAATTTGTAGAGAATTTTATTCTCTACAACTTTTATAATAAATGCAAATACGATAAGAGGCAGAAAAAAGGAGATATTCTCAAAAAATTGATTTTTGCGACCTTTGACCTTTGACACACGTTGGCATATGTGACTTTTGCAATGCTAAAATAAAGGTTTGTACAAAAATTCAGCTTATTCCGTTAGATTCCGAGGTGAAATGCCTAGATGACTGGACTATATGGGTTGCCAGGTGGGGCAAAATTTGCCAAGTGTACCAAGTGAAAAAAATTTTGTCAGCGATTTTGTTTAAACTTTATTTATTTGTCTTGTCTTATAACGAAGAATCATAGCATAAAATTTTTTTGCCCTAGGATTGTTCATTCAAGAGTTATGGAATATTGAAATTTATCGATTTTTTACTTTTTGGTGAAATCGCTTTTTATTTAAAAATTCTTTTCTTCTGTTTATCTCTTTATTAAATATTTCAATTTAACCACCTTAAATGATTTTTTCCGTACTTTTCAATGGGCTATACCACTTTTGCAAAAAAAATGCATTTTTTTTTTAAATTTTGCAAAATTTTGCATTTTTTGAAACAATGTGTATTTTTTATTTTTTTTTAAAATAGCATGAAATCGAAGTTTATTATGTTACCTTTGAATAAAAAAAAATTTAGAGTGGGCCCGACATGTAGAAGGGAAGTTTTTCATATTTGAATGCGTGCGGGTCTAGCCATCGAATAGCTACTACATTGCTGTATGCGTTTATACCTAGTAGATTTTATGCTATTTAAAAAAAATTAAAAAATACACATTGTTTCAAAAAATGCAAATTTTTGCAAAATTTCAAAAAAAATTGCAAATTTTTTTTGTTTTCAAAAACGCCCATTGAAAAGTACGGAAAAAATCATTTAAGGTGGTTAAATTGAAATATTTAAATAAAAAGCGATTTCACCAAAAAGTAAAAAATCGATAAATTTCAATAATCCATAACTCTTGAATGAACAATCCTAGAGCAAAAAATGTTAAGCTATGATTCTTCGTTATAAGAACAACAAATAAGTAAAGTTTAAATAAAATCGGTGACAAAAATTTTTTCACCTTGTACACTCAGGGCCGTGCCGTGATATGATGCGAGGATGCGGCCGCATCAGGCGGCACCGTAAAGGGGCGGCATTAGCAGCAACATCAAAAAAAAAATTTTTGGTACAATTTAAATTTTTCAATACTTAAAAATCTTTATGCGACACTTTTTTAGATTACTTTGTATAATTCCGGTATTAACGTAGGCATTTAGTAAGATTGACTCGCAAAAAGGCGCCTCCCCCGCATATCAAATAACAAGTGCAAGTTTATGTGGAGTAATTCTTTGGTATTATATACAACCTGGGTTTGTAATTATTTTAACAAAGAAATATATTTTACCGAAAGTTTTGTAAAGGTAAAATGCAATTTTGTAAGGATTTTGTTAATTTCAAAGGTTACAGATTATTTTGTCAAATTATTCTGTTGAAAAAGTACACGTGATTTCAGGCAGCCAATCAAAACATTTCTTATAACAAATTCTGTTTTTAAAAGTTCCCAATTTACAACAAATACTTTTGATACTGGGTCTTCATAAGAGTTTGTAAAAAATACAAGAATTATGGTTGAAGTTGACATGAAATTTTGTTATTAAATCTACAAAATAAACTTAAACTTAAACTTAACTTAAACTTAACAAAAAGTTATGTGGACCTGGATTAACATAAAATCTGGTTATTATTTGGTTAAAATTAACAAATATTTTTTTACTGTGTATAAATGCAAAGAGAAGAACTATAGTTGTTATATATTACGTATACGTAGTGTATCCCGGATGCTGAAATATTCCATGAAATCTTTAGACGGTTTAAATTACTTGTGCCAAAATAACTTAATTTTTTTGTATCCGAACGCTTTTATAGTTTTGCGAATTTTATTACACTCCCTGTATCTGTAGCTAGTGAGGAAATAAGTTTTTCAAAATTAAAACTGATAAAAAACTACTCAGGAAATTCAATAAGCAAAACAAAACTTAGACATCTATCATTATTATCTATTGAATCTACATTAGCTGCCACTCTAGATTACACATCTTTAATTAACGAATTTGCTAAAATAAAAGTTAGAAGGATAAAATAATATTAAAGTTCTGTTATATTTATGTTTTTTTCAAATTAAAAATATTTTCATTTTGTGCAGTTTTCTTGGGAATCTTTAATTAATTTAAAGAGAAACCATTTAAGGGGCGGCATTTCAATAACTTGCATCATACTGAAAAAATCTACCGCACGGCCCTGTACCGTACACTTGGCAAATTTTGCCCCAGGTGAGTGTTGTTGTCAAATAAAAATGAAAACGTTTTTAAAACGCTCACCTGTTCCAAGCTAGTGTGTCCCAGAGTATAATCCTTGATGTTCAAACTTTTGTTTTGTTTGGCGCGTTCCATGATGCCAAACAACTCCGAACAAGGCAAGTTCGTTTTGGCAATGTAGAAAAGAAGCCATTCTCCTCTTCTCTCGAAGCATTTCGCGCCGGGAAACTGCGCCCTGACGAATTTCTCAGCTTGAATCGACGACCCCGTCGTCCTCAAGTTCACCGTGTAGCCGTCGACGAATTTTTCCATCAACCGTTCTTTCGTGCCGAGGCACTTAAAGTTCCCGTTGACCATCACGGCGATGCGGGTACACAGAAGTTGGCACTCTTCCATGCTATTCGATGCGATAATAATCAGTCTACCTTTGGATCGCATTTCTGCAATGGCGTTCCAAATGAATCTCTTCGATGGCGGGTCTAGACCTGTCAAATATTTTTGTTTATTTTTATGGGTTAGGTACTAGCTGTACACCCGCGGCTTTGTTCGCGCGGTTCTAAGGGAAAAAAAGGGGTCATCTACACTGTTCAAAATTTCATGACCATTTTAACACCAAATTAACACCAAACATGGTCTATATCGATACAAACCAAAATGGTGTTAAATAAGGTTCGTTGGCCGGTGTAAATTCAAATATTAAAATGGTGTTAATTTAACTTTCACACAGTATTAAAATAAATTTTACTTGGTGTTAAATGAACTCCTTTTCAGTGTTAAATATTATGTGTTTGTGGACAAATTAAATCATACTACACAGAAAAAAGGAAAAAAAGGAAACAGGAAGTTCCTTACCATTACAAGTATAGTGGTATTATTCCAGAAAATTGAACCTTCAACTCGCTAGAGATAATGTTTTTAGTGCGTTCCACCAACTTAAAATACTTCAAGTATTGACAGCTGTTTCCACCTATTTAAGGCCTCTTTAGTATCGAACAACTTGTAGTGTCACACCAAAGCAAAGGACTACCTAAGCTTATATACTCTTCATGTAAGTCAACAGAGGCGTGATTAAAGAACATCACGTGATACACACAGCCTTTGCCGCGATCAGTACACACTATGTAACCAGGAATACACGGCAAATTGTTTTAATCGTTTTAACAGAGTGCTTTAGGTTGAAGTAACTCTTATTTTACAAACAACATATTTAGTAAACTGAACCATACAGCGGGTTGGTTTCACTAAAGTTTTCTGGGTTAATTTAACCAATTTAAAAAAATAAAATAACTATCTGGTTTAGTACCGTCAGACTAATCTTTGTTTATATTAATCTTCTCACAGTTGATTTAAACTTATGGGTCAACTAATTTAATATAGTTAAATGAACTAACTATTCCTTTTTTTCTGTGTAGGTGCACTTCTCAAATATTTTTAGATAAACACCGTTTTGGTGTTTGCTGTATAAAACATTTTCAACCATAATTCATGGTGTTATATTAACACCACTTGGTATTGGAATTTGACACCATTTTAAGATTACTCTTTACACCACAGATATTTTAAACCTTATTTCATTGGGTGATAATAATTATTATCAATTGCGCATCATGGTCACTTTTTACCTGCCAGCATTAAATCCTTTAGTTTAAAGGATTATTGTACTATTTTTAATAAAAATACCTCATTTAAAGTAAAAACAAACATTATTTTGTTAATTAATTAATTTAATCCTAATTGAGGTATAAAAAATGATATTGGGTTATAAATAATAGTTATTATTGAGGTATAAAGAAACTATTTAAAGTTTAGCATTATTTAATCAATTTAGTTCGAAGATTAATTTGCAAACAAAAAAACCTCCTTTCGTTAAACACTTATTCATTATTAACAGTGGAAGAAAAAATAGAATGATTTTGATTTATGGACAAGCAGGCAGGAATCTTGATGCTGTTAATATCTACGTTTTCCGGAAAAAAATCGATCACGTTCTTCATTTCACCGTACAATCAAGCAGTTTACTACAAACGGGAGTGTTCAACCGAAATAAAGAGTTCGTCGAGCAACAGTCACAGGTGGAAATAATGAAATTAATGTATTAGCAGCAATGGCCGCTAGAGATCTGGGAATATCCCAGAGCAGAGTTAGTAGAGTATTAAAAACGAAATGCGAATTAATGAATGCATTAAAGTCGAAGGCCACCATTTTGAGCACCTACTTTAATTAAAATTTAAAAAATAAATAAATAAATTAAAAAAATAAATCCAAGTATTTTATTCAAAAATTATTGGAGGATCGTATACAGAAGAAAAATCGAACAAAAAATTTTTTTTTCATTACAGCGCCATCTATTACAAATATTAAAATATGTTGTAGACAAAATCTACCTATTTTTAGTCGAATGATCCGAATTTGCAATAAAAAAATAGGGTGTTACATTGGAAATTTTAAAGTTATTAAAGTTATTTGAAATACAATTTGGAACCCTAAAATAATAATAATAATAATAATAATAATAATAATTACAACAAATTTTGTGAATGTAACCTATTTTATTTTTTTAATGTGGACCTTTAATATATTATGCAACATAGAAATAAAATTCAATATTAAAAGTTTTTTTCCTGGTTTAGAGATAACCCATTTTTTTTTAAATAATTGTAAGCTTTATTAATATTCAAATTAAGTTAATTGGAGATTTCTAATTCATTAATTTGAATTGAAATATTCGTAATTTCGTCAGCAAATGAACAGTGTCTATTTAAAAATGAGGAATGCTCTATATACATATGTATACCCAAGTCTGGACCTAAAAATTTCTCAAAAAATTTTCTAGGATATGTACACAGAAAAAAATCTATCGTATCATCAAACATAATAACTTTTATTCAATGATACACTCTATTCCGTATTCCTAGAACATAGTTAAATTTTACTCAATAATAGTTATGTCTTTGAAAAAGGAATATACTTTCTGATTATTTTAACAATAGGCAATTATTAAAAACTTGTTAAAGCATTTAGGTAATTTTTGTTATGATTGGATGCCAACAATAGTCTGTTATTGGTTTAAACATTAGTTTCCTTGCATGAAAATTAACTTAAGATAATTATCTTTATTAAAATATTAATAAATATTGCTGTTATTATATTATATTAAATATTGCTGTTATTATATTATAATTATAATTATTCTACAACAAATTCATTTATAAAATAAATAGTAGCTATTGTTAAAAGGAAACTAAGGAAAAGATTAAATCGATTAATTTATGTAATTAATTAAATTTTAAGAATTATTTCAATCAACTGTATATTTATATACAAATAATTATATTATATATTCTTGATTATTGAAACTATTTTTGATTTGACCTTTCTCTAAATTTTATTTAATTATATTGCTATTATTAGTCAATTAAAGAAAATAGTATTTGCTTCATTAAAAGCTTTATATTAAATTTAAGTTCAATTATAAATAGCTATATAAATTAATATATAGCTATTTATAATTGAATTAAAGTTTAAAAAAAGCTTTTAATGAGGCAAATGCAATTTTCTTCAATTGAATAGTAGCAATATGATTAAATAAACTGTAGAGAAAGGTCGGAAATAAAACAATACTTCTATTAAACTTTTTTATTTTTAGTTTACAACAAAAAATAAATTCTATAAATCTCACTTTTCAAACACTTTTTTAGGAAAACGCCCTCGTTTCCCATTGCATTTATCTTCCCCTTTCCTATTTTTCTTGGCAATCTACGCCAAGGCTCGGCAAAGCGCTCGGCATCCTACGTCATGACGTCTACCAACCTTAAAATGCTTAGTTCCCTGCTTTCCCTAGATTTAAATATTACTTTATTTAAAGTGTATTTTAAGAACGTTTTTAAACAATTTGGCTCTTAATAAACTACGGATTGTTTAATAGATCTCCTCACCGCATTTAATGGAAGTCCAAAGTGTATGGTGGCAAATAAGTAATTTCTTTGGGCATTTGGTCTACATACCTATCTGGTTTTCTCCATAAAAAAGGTTTAATTAAACGGCATGCAATAAAGTTAAAGTTTTTTTAAAGTAGTTATAAACGGAAAATCTAAGGGTTTCTCGTTTTATTTTACTACGCCACAATCGCCAGTATTCGGACCCACCTAAACTTAAATCTTACATGCAAACAATTATAGGTGGGTACCTACTCAATAAAATAATCAATAAATGTACTTACCATTAAACACGGGAATGAGATCTTCCAAACCCCAACTTTTCAGCACATATTCCATTATAAAGAAATACTTAAAGCACAAAACGATTGTTAAACAACACGCGTTTGACACTAATGGCTGAAGAACGGCGTCTTCGTTATGCTCCCTCCCTAATTTTGCGTGTGTTATAAAAACAATACGTTTGGGTCAACAATAACTTTCATTGGATTTATATTATATACAGTTTATTTAAACCCTTTAATATTCGGCTAATAATATATTGTTTGGTTATAATATACATTAGTGTTGAGTCAATGATTCTTCTGATGGTTAGAAAAAAGTTGTTGATTATATTGATACATTATATTTTAACGGAATAATATGATTATTTGTCTAAAATATACTAATTTTTAAAATAAAAAATTGGAAGCAACAATAAGTATATTTATTATTTAAACAAAGTGTAATATTCATTAAAATATTCTTTTGGTTGAAAACATAATAATATTTTATTAGTTTTCAATGATTGTCTTTTTATTGAATAAACTAAACGTTTTATTTAAAAAAAAACTTAGTTATATTAAAAAGCCAATAATAACTTTATATTTAAGACAATTTTAGATTTAAACTTTCGGCAATTATTTTTAATTAACAAGAACATTCCTGTGCTTAAAACAAAGTGAACGCACCCAAAAATAAGACTGCTATTGACTGTACGATAGAGTTTTTTCTGTGTAGGGGAAATCAGTATGACCATAGTCATGTGCACAAAAATGGCCTATACCATAGTGCTTATAAGTAACCTCTGGGACTGTAGCCACCTCAACTCATTAATGATAATTGAAAAGCTATAAAAAATTGATATTTAAAATAATAAAAAATAATATGAAATTAAACCATTTTCTTGTAAGTAAAAAAAACTAGAGAGCACAAAATAATTCTAAAAAAAGTATAACACCAAGTCTTGTTGGATTGATAAAAACTTACAAAAAAGAATGCCATTTATGCTGATTAGTTTTAATATTTTATAACGGCTGAACGTGTTAAAATTATTTTTATTTATGGTGCAAAAAACCGTTGTGCTCTGCGAACTGCAGTGGCATTTAATGAACTACACCCTGGCAAACATGTTCGTCATAGATATGTTCAAGAGCAGATTGTAAAATTTGGATGAACGGGATCTGTTTGCCATCGAAAAAAAAAACAACGCAGGATACTCAATGAAGCCACCAATATTGAAGTTCTTGGTCAGTTTGGTGTAGATCCCACAATATCATTCCGTTCAGCATCTAAATTAACGGGGCTTTGCCCTGAGTCTGTTAGAAAGGTGTTGAAAAATCACTAATTCCACCCATTCAAAATGAATATTACACAAAAACTTGGCGATGATGATGCAGAAAGGCCTTAGAGTTTTGTGAAATCATGAACACTAAAATAACAAATCAGATCCAAATACTAAAAAAACATTTGCTTCAGCGATGAGTGTACTTTATATCTAAATGGAAGTGTTAACAAACAAAATTGTCGTTATTGGAGCAATGAAAATCCTTATCTCATCAGAGAAAATCATAGGTAGCCAGAATCCTAAAAAACTTAATGTCTGGGCAGCAATTTTGGAAAATTGTATTATTGATCCCTTATTTATTGACCAAAATTTGAATGGTCAAATTTATTTCAAAATGTTAGATGAAACAATACAGCCACTAATAATAATTGAACTAGAAAATCAAATAGGAGAGGGTGATGAACCAGCTTTGAATAAAAATGTATTACATCTTCAACAAGATGAGGCACCACCTCATTATGTAGTAGCTTGGCTGGATCAGAATGATCCAGAACAGTGGATTGGTTGAAAAGGACCAATAGAATGGCCTCCCAGATCTCCACATCTAATACCATTAGACTTTTTGATGGAGTCACTTAAAATCAGAGGTCTAAAAAACTATCATTCTATTGAAGATCTGTGACAACGAATTACCGAGCTATTCCACGACAAACATTTCAAAATGTTCGAAGGGAATTTGTGAATAAACTTTACTACTATTGCTTACAAAATAATAGAATTAATTTTTAACATTTAATTTAAAAAGCTAAAAATTAGAATGTTTTAATTATTGTCGAACAATTTCTTTAAATCTACTCGTACCTATATGCTTTTTTAGTTTATTATTCTTTTGTTGAATTATTTTGTGTTCTCTGGTTTAATTTGATATTTAAAACGAGAAATTGGAATAAAAATTCAACTATTAAAAATTATTTTGTTTAGTACTGTTAATTTTTAAATTTTCAAGAGCTTTCCAATAATGTATCACAAGAAAATTGAGTTGGGGTGGCTTAGTGAAGGTCATTTTTGTGGTCATCTGATTCCCCCCACATATCCGAAAACGCTTTTGAGAAAATTTTATATCATTGTTAGGTCCAGACTACAGAAAAAAATACTATACAATTTAACGGCAATGATGCCGACAAAATCAATACTGAAATACGCACCGCCATTAGGAAGTTTAAAGACGATTTGTGGGCGAATACTTTAGATAGTCCCCCACGGACCGCAGCCTATGGAAACAAACTAAGCGACTTAAACACTTAAAAGCGAACATTCCGCCCATCAACTGCGACAACAAAATGGTCATCACAAACAGTGGCGGCGCCAGCTTTTTCTTTCCAGTTGGGCGACACTTGGCAGAAAAATTTGAATTGTGGGCAGCAAAAATATGTTTTAGGTATCTAGGTAATGTTTCATATAATAGGTATAAATTGTATAATGTACCCACTAATTATAATTATAGATATTTTGCGGATTTGTGAATAAATGTGAAATACAAACTAAAACGAAAAAAAAAACACAGAAATTAAGTTTATTTTACACGGAAACGCATGATATATATAACTATAACAGACACAGTCTAACGTTTAGGTCGATTAGGAAAGCGCTATTTTTCTATTATTATGTACATTAAACGTTTAATTGCAAAAGAATCTACAACTATCCCAAGCAGCATTTTAAGTTTAAATACCTACAAATTTACTACTAAGTCAACTTTAAAGTATTTTTTACGGTTAACCAAAACGGTTTTATAACGGTATAGTTACGAAAAATTACCAAATTTGGGGAATGGTTTATTTCGTTATTTTACCTACATAATAACCATTTTGATCTACTAAGAGAATAGCGTAATAAAAACAATATAAATACCACAAATTTACGTAAAAATAACGCTATAATTACTAATAATAACAGTTTGCTATCTCTTTCTAAAACATGGACATTCGTTTTTTTTTTTGTTCTTTTAATTTATATTTTACAAAATGGTACTTACAAAATAATAAAGGCCACCCTAGAGTAAAATTAAAAAATATAAATTAAATTGCCAAAACTAATAATATTTTGCATTAAAACTCAAACGCACATTATTTTATTGATAAAGATAGGCGTGCACGATACATCTTAAAAATTATATGCCCTCTAAATATTTTACGGTTTTAAGAAAAATTATTGCTTGGGTAAAAATTTAACAAAACTTTAAACGGTTTAAAGTTTTGTTAAATTTTTACCCAAGCAATAATTTTTCTTAAAACCGTAAAATATTTAGAGGGCATATAATTTTTAAGATGTATCGTGCACGCCTATCTTTATCAATAAAATTTTGTAGGTTTAAATTAAACCTACAAAATTTTATAAGATCTTTTAAAAATCATTTAGTTTTAATCATTTTTTATTAAATAAAACTTTTCCTATTATATTTTAGAAAAATATTTATGAAAAAATATTATATAAATGTTTAGATAAGTCATCTTAAATAACTCATTATGGCGAACTAAAAAAAATCTTCCCTTAAAGTTTTGTTTTTCACTTTAAGCTTATTTTTCCTTGTTTAGTCATTATTAATAGTATTTATTACCACTAATAACCCTAAAAAATACCAGGCGAATAGGAATTATTTACGGTTATAAAGTTATTAAGTAAAAATTCTGACGTTAAAATTACCGTTAAATTTTCCTTTAGGTGAAATACACTTATAAGTAGTTTTCTTTTGTAAAAATTACATCCCTCATAAAACTTTAAAGTGTTGAATCTTAAGGGTTATTAAAATAGGGAAAAATAATATAAATAAAACTTATTATGTAACTTTAAAAAAAGTTTTACTTCAAAGTAAATTTTTAAGGTTAATTTAACAAAATATTTACTTAAATTAAGTAATATTGCCTCAAAGCTCTACGCTTTTACTTGAAATGCTGCTTGGGATATCTAAGTCCATTGCTTTTACAATACTTTTTCAACGTACAATATTCCTAAATCTGTGAGGCCTCTCTTGTAACATTGTAGTCCTTAAATTTTTATTCTTTTTAAGCCACTAAACGACCTCTCACGATTTTTTGCTCAAATGTTTAGTTTAGCAGGTTGGGCGAGCGGTTGGGCAGGAACAATTTGGGTTGGGCGCTCGCCCAACCGCGCCCACACCTGGCGCCGCCACTGATCACAAACCAAAACAAAGCCACTGCAATATCGTAGCATTTAGCTTATATCCCCACCACAAACAGTGACAATTTAACACTTGAACAACAAAACATCCACTAAATCAGGCGCGAAGCACTTTATTTTGACCAATTTCAAAATTATTATATTTGTTTCCCTAAACACTTAAAATAATACAAAATCTTCTAGATCTAACAAATACTAACCCAGTTATTTAAAACGACATCATAAACACATTAGAAATATGTATAAAATAAAATTACTTAATAATAATAAAATATACCTAAACGAGTCATAATGGCCTAATCATGGGTAAGTAATTCTCTAAGCCCATAATTATCGGATATTTTTGTTAACCAATCAGAGATAATTATACACAAACATGCATATAGTGAAAATGTTATATATTGGTACCGATATGTAGACGATATCCAAACTTGTTTCACAGGTACAAAGCAGCAACTAAATATTTTCTTAAATTTTATAAATAACATACATCCTAGCATTAAATTCACAATGAAAAAAGAAATAAATAACTTCATTAATTATTTAGATTTATAGATTGTTATAACAATCCAAAAACAAAATAGACACAACACATTCAAAATTTTTCACCAACCCAGCTTCACAAATATAGTTATACATAAAAGTTATTATCATCATTTTTCACACAAAACGCGTACCATTCATGTGCAATGTGGAATAATCGAGTACCTACAACCGAACTAAATAAAACAAATTGTGCTGCGTGTACGTATTTATTGAACTTGTAGTTTAATAAGAAATATTGATAACCGTGAAACAGAACCAATTTTTATAGTATTAAAACAACAATAGTGGATTTTGGGTATATCAATATTTCAGTTATTAGACATGGCACCCACACCAAATTTATAATAGTTTATAATGACATTAAATAAACAAGTTCGGCGCAAACAGAATTTAAATTGAAGTTTGCGAAAAAAAGTTAGTTTTTCCTGTCGCCTCACCCGCCTCCAGGCACCCCTATTTAAGATAATTTAAATTAAAGTGGTGCAATTTATTATCTACTATAATTTATCGACAAATTTAAAATTTTATTTAAAAAATCCAAATACCTATAACAGGTTTTATACCATTTTAAATATTTTTTTATTTTACACAGATTGGAACGATATCCTATGGAAGACTGATGGGCCAACTCATGACCAATCAAAACACGACCTTGGTAAAAAATCGTTAGATTTTGAGATATTGGCGTTTTTATGAATTATGTGAAACTTGACACGTTTAATCAGTTTTTCGAGTGCCACAGCTATAAAATTCCATATCTAAGATTCTATTTTATGTTGCGCAAAATTAGCGGCACGATAATTAAAAAAATAACACAAAATTAATGCAAATCCTATGTTGTTAATTGTTTATACAAGGTGTGTTCAGAAAATGTCGGGTATTTTCGTTTTTTGAAACAAATATTTATTTATTCGTCTACATTTATGTTGTCGCCTTCAAAATAGTCCCCATTGGATATTATGCACATGTGCCAGCTCTTCTTCCAATACTCGAAACACTTCTAAAACTCGATCTTTGGGATAGCCTTTAGTTCTTTCAGCGATGCGCTTTTAATGTCATCTATGCTTGCAAAACGACGGCCCTTTAAGGCTCTCTTTATTTTTGGGAATAGGAAAAAGTCAGACACAGGCATGTCTGGCGAATATGGAGGCTGGGGCATCATTACAGTATTTTTTTGGCCAAAAATTTTGTTCAAAATTTAACCATTTTAGAATATTTATTGGATGAGCCAATCGATATACCAACATCATCAGCGACTTCTCTGATGGTTATGACCATTTCTTCCACTTTTTCCATGTTTTTATCGGTTGTTAATGTGCTTGTGCGTTCGGGGCGTTCGTCATCTTCAACGTCTTCACAGCCATCTTGGAAACTCTTATACCACTTGTAAACTCTTGTTTTACTTAAAGCATACTCACTATAGGCCTTTATTAACATTTCACAGAATTTATTTCATTTTTTAAGCAAAATTGGATACAAATTCTTTGATCCATTTCTTTTAACGAACGAAAAATCGCCGGGCTCAAAAAACACGTCTAACCTTAGCGGCTGCCACAGACAAATTAAACATTGAAAACAGCTAAAGTTTTTATCATACTTCAGGGGCATGTATACCAAGTTGGTATTACGAACATAGTAAAGAAAATTTTATGACAACCGGACCCTCCGAACAATTCCCGTTATTTTCTGAACACACCTCGTATAATTGAAAAATAAGTAGTTGGTTATGATCCCTGATCAGCTTGCAAAGACCTATTTAGTGATGTTTGACATGACCCACTTCCTGTAAAAAAAATGTGACCGTTCTTTAGTACCTAAGACGCCATTTAATTTTTTTTTGAAAAAATTGTTTAACGTCAAGTTGAGGATTTTTACGCGCTCACTGTATAAAACAACATACCTGCAGTAGGTTCGTCTAGAAAAATGACCGGTGGATCCCCGATTAAGGAAGCTGCGACCGCCAACTTTTTTCTGTCCCCCTTCGACAACTTTCTCACCCTCTTTCTCAGCTTGTTGCCTAAATCAAAATCGTCAGTCAGCTTATAAATCAGTTTCTCGCAGTCGCGCAATCTCACGCCGCGAATGAGTCCCAGAATTTTTATCGTATAGATCACCTATGTGGATAAAAATTTATAGTAATTATAAGTCTCATTGGACTTTTACATACATGGACTTTACTCCAATGATTGGAGTAAAGTGCTGCATGTAAAAAAAACTCCATTTTGGATAAAAGTTCCATTAGTTTATGATATTTTTGATAGGTTAACCTAATTAGTATCAATTTTAATAATTTGAAACATGACTCGCGAGTTATTTTATTTATAATAGTATATTATGTATTAAGTTTGATAAACGCCATTTTAGTAACGAATTTAATTTAAATGAGTGTCTAAAATAATTTATACACGAGTTGTCTACTATTTTTTTCTACAACAAATACTTATTATTATCTAAAAATGATGTAAATTAAATATTTTTATAGGCGACATCTTTAAAAGAACAGAGCTACCAATTTGGGAATCTGTATTACCGGCGCGCCTTGAAAATGTCAAATTTTTATGTTTAAATCGAAATGTATTCCTTGAAAATGGACTAACAACAGTTTTTCACAGTAAAAGTACCCAAAATTAAGTTAAATCTAGTTTACTGCTGGCGAAATTAAAAGCTCAGTACAATTTTCAAGTAAAGTTTTTAAATATTGGCGTTGAGAAACTATTTTATACGTTTGCATTGAGATAATAAAATAATTTTTACATTTAACTACACCTTTTCCAGTTGATATTTAGAAAGTATAAATTGTAATTTAGTTATTCCAGTTGATATTCAGATTAGGGTTGCCAACTTACGGTTATTGAAATAAAGGACAAATTGGGATTTTTTTATGGGTGCCACGTCTACTTTACAGCTTTTCCGATTTTTTTTTCGGACGAGGTGGTGTAGAAGGGGCACCGCCCTTGTTTAAAATAGAAAATGCTACTTTTTATGAATCTGTTTAATATTGCGACAAAAAACTGAAATCTAATAATATAATTTTAATATTGTATTTTCCACTTACTGTTTCCTGTTAAAAAGTTGTAAAATAAGGTTAAAAAACACCAAAGGGACTAGTCGACTACACACAAGGGCTCAACACAACGAGGAACAAAAAAATACAAGGTATGCTGGATAAATTGGAGCTCGGGGATTTACCAAAATATTTCAAATGTTGCCAATTTTACATTTTATGGTATTTGTAGGGGCCTTTTTCTGGACATTTGCAGTCCTTTGACACCTTTCAAAAGGACAAAGGACAGTATTTAGAAATAAAGGACTGTCCTTTGAAATAAAGGACGGTTGGCAACCCTAATTCAGATAGTAGGAATTGTAATTCAGCTATTCCAATTGATTTTAAGAGAGTAGCATATGTAATTCAGATAACACAATTGATTTTAAGAAAGTAGCAATTGTAATTCAGATAACACAATTGATTTTCAGAAACTTTCAATTGTAATTCAGAAAGTAGCAATTGTTTTTCAGATTAAATCAAATGTAATTTAGCCGCAGCAATTGTTTCAGGAACAGTGGGTTGCATACAGTAAATCGATGATGAATGAAAGTACACGTTATCTTTATTAACTAAGTAAATGAAATTTATATAAAGTACAAATGAACAAAATTCGGTCCTTACTTGCAATAAGTTGACAATTATGACAAATATACCTACTTAAATGGTGATAAATTTGTTTATTATTGCCAATGCCATGGAAACAAAGCAATATACAAAGAAATACATTAAATTGAGATTTTAGAAAATTGAGATTTTAGAAAATCCTAAGTAAAATGAAGTATAAATGTTATCATTTGTTAATTTCTGAATTTCAATTGACATATTCTGAATTAAAATTGTTACTGTCTGAATACTATTTGTAATTTCTGAATATCAATTGCTAAGTAATATCATTTGCAATATCTGAATTACTTACATCAGCTACTTTCTGAATATCATTTGAAATATCTGAATTACATTTGCTATTTTCTGAATTTCATTTGCAATATCTGAAAATCAATTGCTGCTTTCTGAATATCAATTGCTACTTTCTGAATATCAACTGGAAAAGGTGTAGTATTATTTTACAAAAAAGGCACTTTATTTTAACGATTGTATGACATTTGACAACTGTCAACTAACTTAAAATTAACTTCAGACCGTGACTAAAACGCCATAAAGCCACCACTCAATCTGTATTTAAAAGGTGTCATGGAAACATGTACGATAATGGGCGTTTTAAAGGTGGTAGTAGAAAAAAAAATATTGTGAGTTTTGATTTTTGCAAGTTATAAGTTTTGGCCCAAAATACATTAGAAAAAAATCAGATCAAGGAAGGCAAGAATGCGTCACTGGTAGATTTAACCAAGTTTTGACTTTTTAAATTCCATTTAGGGATGAGGATGTTTCCGATAAGCCACAGACATTGGACCACTTGGAATATGTCCAAAATCATATTTAAATATAAAACATTATCTTTTCAATATAATACTATGACCATCATAAGATTTGTATGTGTTTTATTTCATTTTAAACCTCTAAAAACACCCTTTACTTGTACTCGTAAATACTATTTGAGAGAAAAACAAATGGTCTTACCCTTAAGTTTCCTAGTAATGGAGAGTATTGCGGACACACGCCGACGGTTTTTCTAAACTTCTTTAAATTTTTTTTTAAGTTTCTGCCGAATATCCAAACTTCGCCGTGCGTCATTTTGAGGTCGCCCGTCATCATCCGTATAGAAGTGGTCTTGCCGGACCCTGGACACCCTAAAAATATGAATACATACCTAATCTTACGAGGCACTACCTAATTTTTTTAGAAATTAAACAAAACACTATATTAAATGTTATTTTATTAAAGTATTTGTCTACCAGTTCTGGAAACATTTAGGAATGGGCATCTTGGAATTTCCAAGTTGGAAACATGCATTTCGGCAGCCTTTTAGCTCTTTATAGGCTCATGCACAAGTGACCTAACTCAAAAACCTACGCTTTAAAATTAAAAAGGTAAGAAGCAAATGGGTACAAGTGCATTTTAACATGAAAATAAGTTAAATGCAGAATTGGGTAGTTTAGAGTCCATTTTTTTTAAACGAGTCCATGTGCATGTTGATTAATGCAAAAAGAGAAAGAGAAAGAGTAATTACCTAATTCTGCACTTAACTTATTTTCATGCTAAAATGCACTTGTACCCTTTTGCTTCTTACCCCTTCATTTGGAAAAAATATGAACACAATTTGGGATCTAATAAAACTAAACCTACCCAGAGAGATAAATAAACAGAATATCCGAAGAAGGGGGGGGAATGAACAAATAAGGAATTACAACCACAAAAAAAATTAATAATGGTATCGTAAAAGACTTGTACTTCAGTATGAAGAAGGAGTAGAGTTCAACCAAAGACATGAATAAAATACAACCGACCGAAGTACAAATTTCAAACAAAGTGGAAGATATTTTACCACACAGTACAAAGTTTTGCGCAACCTTCTACTAAGAATACAACTGATACCACAACAAAAACAGATACAGAGGAAGTGACAATCAACACGAGTAAGAAAACCACCGCAAAGACTTGATTTGTAAGATTAACCAAGGAACTGCTGTTATTACCGCTGACCAATCACCTACTTAAATATATATATAATAATATATATATATCTATATATATATATATATATATATATATATATATATATATATATATATATATACAAACAGGCGTTAAGGCACCAAATTCGGATATATATGGGCCAAGTGGCACCTATATAATCGTTGTGGCACCATTTCAAGGTGCCAGAACATTTTATTTCATATATAAACTCTAATGTGTCATAGTATTATCCCTACAAAATTTCCAGATGGTGCCACTTGGACTATATATATAGAAAAGTAAAATTTTAGTTGAACCATATAATCTACAGAGGGCGCTAACTACCTAAGTAAACTATACAACGTAGCGGCACCATGATAGAATATATACAATAGGACGTTGCGGCACCATGTAGGTATTTCTTGAGTCTAGATTCTAGACGTTTTCCGATATTTAAGATTTAATTTAATTTACTATTAAGTAGTATCTATTTGGCTCCTTAGTCTTAGTATTATTTACGGCTACTGAAGTAGTGAAATTAGATAAAAATGGATCAAAAATACAAAGTTTTTGGTGGTAAGTAGGTACTAAGTATTTAAACTTTTTTAAATTAATTAGGGAAACAATCAATTATTTGCGGAAACTAGGGATGCTTTTGCACGTTTTATGACTAGGTCACAAAAAATAGTAAAAAAGCATTAGAAGATTTTCGTAAGTATTTTCTTGTTAATATTTAAAAAATAAAAATCAATACTTAACATAACAGCAGGCAGATATTGCCCCCCCCCCGCGAAAATCTTTACTGGGCCCCCTGATTTCACATATTTTTTAAGTTTTTATATTGAAAATAAAAATTATTATTTTTATTTATTATTATTATTATTTATTAAAAAAATGCGAAAGAATATTTTTTTTAAATAAGGTTCTTATACAGTTCAACACGATTTACCTCCCATGAAAAAATTTAAGAGATTTTAAAATATAGGTTAAAAAAACATGTCCGTGACTTACCGTTTTACAAAATCACGTCATTAAAATTTTTTATACAGCCATTCTTATTATTTTAACATATACATATATTTAATTTTTTATTTTGTTATAAATTATTTTTTCAAATATTGATGTTTTAAACAATAGAAAAATTATACTTAAAAAAAAAATTTAAATAAAAAAAAATTCTATAAATTAAAAAAAATATAATTTTTGAGTTTTTTTTTAAATAAAATTTATTCATTAAATAAAATGTTTTAAAAACTATACATTTAGCTGTTATTGAAGCCGTGATCTGAAAACATGCCGAGACACGGGTATCATTTTTTAAGTCTAAACTGCGCACCACTCAATGTGTCGCGACCAAAAATTTCGTCCATTTTTAAAACGACATAACTTTTTTATTTCTTGAACGATTTTATTTTGGTTTGTGATGTCTGCTAGCCCCATTCTCTGGCAATTCATGCTATAGATATGAAGCTCACGGTTCTTCAAGTAAATTTACTACAGGGTGATATGTAAAACAGTGAAAAATTTCAATAACTTCATCCAAGCCCCGTTTGTAAAATAAATATTTTTTTCTCGTTTTTACTTTGAAATAATGAAGTATTATGTCTTACCTTGAAACATTTTTCAAATTTTTCGAATTGGAATCTTAGCAACAAAAATATGATTTTTTTTTCAATGGAGTTCATTTGATGCTTTTTTGTAGGCAATACACTCAGCTTTTTTAAGAACAAAAAGATAAGATGGTGAAAGATTGTTCCTTGAATAATTCCGAACAAGCGACAAGCAACAAACTTCCATTATTTTCAGAGGAACCTAAGCAAAGACCACTTTTTCAAAATTACATTTTGGTGAAAATTTTCGAAAATTAAACCTGAACCGATATTTACGTTCGTGACATGTTTTCTTCATAATTTTGACCTGATTGTGATTCAGTTGTCAAATTTAGGTTTCATATAAAACCAAAATCAACAAGAATCAAAATTCGAAAACAATTCCTGGATATTAAATGTCTCATTAAAATCTGATTGCTGGTTTTTACTGTTTTTTTTCTGTGTTTTGCATTTTTAGTATAAAATAAATAAACAAATTTTGTATTTAACTTTATTACCAATTAGGTAGGTACTTATCAGTAATAAGTTATCACTAGTGAGCAATATAAATGTAATTTATGTAACATTATCCTAACCACTCAAACAAAAATGAATCCCCAAATGGCATTGGCAAAGGCATGTTATTGAGACATTTAACAGCCGGGAATTGATTTCGAATTTTGATTCTTGGTGATTTTGGTTTCATCTAAAACTTAAATTTGACAACTGAATCACATCAGGAGGTCAAAATTATAAAGGAAACATGTCACAAACGTAAATATTGGTTCAGGTTTAGTTTTCGCAAATTTTCTCCAAAATGTCATTTTGAAAAAGTGGTCTTTGCTTAGGTTCCTCTGAAATTAATGGAAGTTTGTTGCTTGTCGCTTGTTCAGAATTATTTAAGGAACAATCTTTCACCATCTTATCTTTTTTATCTTAAAAAGGCTCAGTGTATTCCCTACAAAAAAGCATCAAATGTGCTCTTTTGAAAAAAAAATCATATTTTTGTTGCTAAGATTCCAATTCGAAAAATTTGAAAAATGTTTCATGGTAAGACATAATACTTCATTATTTCAAAGTAAAAACGAGAAAAAAATATTTATTTTACAAACGGGGCTTGGATGAAGTTATTGAAATTTTTCACTGTTTTACATATCACCCTGTAGTAAATTTACTTGAAAAACCGTGAGCTTCATATCTATATCATGAATTGCCAGAGGATGGGACAAGGAGACATCACAAACCAAAATAAAATCGTTTAAGAAACAAAAAAGTTATGTCGTTTTGAAAAAGGACGAAATTTTTGGTCGCGACACATTGACTGGTGCGCAGTTTATTTTCAAAATCTGTAATCTTGAGAAAATAATTTAAATTTTGTCGTACTACTAAAATAATAGAAAAATAATAACATATTTTTATAAAATACAAAGATAACTAGCAATCTAAGCAATCTTACAATGTTGCCATAATTTTTAAGCATCGCGTCACGTTTTTCGTCTTGCAGATAATACAATGGAAATAAGTTTTTTAATGTTTTGGGGCAATTATAGGCTGGGCCCCCACAAGGATTTTATTTTATGTCATTTCATAGCTGGTTTGCCAGAACGGTTGCACCCAAAAATGGGTAAAATTGATAATTTTATAAAGACATATTAGTAAATGATAATTGAACGGGCAAGAGGATGATAATTTTTTTATAATAAAGGGCAAACAAAATTGTTATTGCAATACCAAATTTATTTTAATTTATAATCACAATATTGTTTTTTTTCTACTTTAATAAATAAAATTTACTTTACCCCTTGAATAAGATCACATGTCTCAATATGCAGGCCCTGTATAATAATGTAAATTAAATTTAAAAAACTCGGTATGCCAAAATTATTATTGTCACAATTTATATTCGTGAAAAAACAGAAATCACATGAATTGTGTAAAAATGGATTTTTTGTTTTGTACACCCAAAAACGAACTTTATGTAAATATTGTAATTGTTCCGTACTGACATGGTTTACAAATTTATTTTCAAGGAAATTAACGTAGTTTTATATATTTTACAAATTAGAATAAATTTGAAATTTCTAAATTATCGTGTTAAAGGCAAAAAGTTTTGCAAAAGTGGTAAAAAGGGACACTTAGGTAAAGGAATTACAGGTTTTTCGAACTTTGCCTAAAAATCTGGCGTCCGGATGATTCCAGAAACGATGGTCCAGGTACACGAATCGAGTAAAGGGAAGCAAAAAACAGGCAGAAAGTTTTTGGAAGTGTTAGCGAACGGATCGTTTCTTGTAAATTTTAGCTAAAACGAAATGTATTGCAAAGTTCTATTTAAATTATTGTTACGACTGTTTGTGTATTCTCCAAGGTTAGTTTTTAATTTAGAATATTTAAAACGAAAAGTAAAATAAATATGATGACAATAAGTATTTTATTCGAAACATCTGACTATTTCGACAAAGGACTTCCTAAAGCGAGCAATATTTTAGTTTTACTTTTATAAACACTGACTTTCAAATAAAGGTATTATATATCTGTATAGTGTCAGAACGCATATATACTTAAAAAATATATAAGGTGCCATTAATTCACATTAAACGCAAAAAATATTGGGTGCGGGAACGTCCATGTAGTTTTTGGTGTCACTTGGTACTTTTACGCGTATATATATATATATATATATATATATATATATATATATATATATATATATATATATATATATATAACAGTAACACATTTTTACAATGTATTTTACTATTTGCTTTGTAAGTTAATATTTATTTAACGAATATATAATTTATAAACATTTCTTTACAATTACAGCAACCCTTGTAACTTACAAGGGAGGATATTCAGCTAAAGAAAATAAACCTAAAGCCTACACGGTGGTCAAAACTTAAGTATAGGACGAACAAAAATGCCAACCAAAACTAATAGCATATTTTGAATATAGACCCTTTTGGTAACACTAACATGTATTTATCAAAATCCCAGCTGATCCTATTTTAAAGGTTTGCAAACTTTTTTGTTTTTCTATTTCTATATATTATTTTGCAATTATTGTACTAAAATTATCTGTACAATTTTAATAAAATTAAGCAAAATAATAAACTTTGTATCATTTAAATTACTTTACTCCCCAGTATTAATTTATTGAGTCACCTAATATTTTTACCACTCAAAACAAAACATAACAAAAAAAACGAAGATTTATATATTAAATATTTTTTATAACAAAAAATACTGGAAGTTTGTCTATGAAATAATTACAACTTGCAAATTTTGTAAAACAATAATTAAGGTGGTTATGAAAAAAATTGCTATACGTTATAATGCAAGTGACATTTTGCTTTAGTTGTTTATTTAATGTATACTTTATAAAGTTAAAAATAGTATTTTAAAAAGAAAATTAAACCGAAATTCAAGTTAAGCCATGAAGAAAATCGAAAGAAGGTATGTGCTGGCTGTGGAGACAAAATTGTTTTTGGTAATCCAAAAATTCAGAGTTTAGGGTTTCTGAGAAAATATAAAAATTACTGCAGACTTTTTCAAATGAACACTTTAATTTAAGTGATTCAAAATTATCTACTTCAATATGGTAAAAACGGTATTTTTGCATAGCCACAATTGCCAAATTTTAAAAATTTAGAAATTGCTAGAGAATTTCGCGAGCCAAGAATGTATGTGCTTTATCTGCAAAATGGCAAGATATAAACGGCATAACAAATTATTAAGGGAAGAGGACGGACGAACGAACTAAAGTTTTGATATGCTCTTCCTTTCTAGATGTAAGAAGCATGTTTGTACAGAGACTGAAGAATTTAAAAATACTGTTTCCATGTTAAAAACAATTTCATGTAAAACCCAAGAAAGAGTTTTACTGAAAATTTAAGGCAAGAAGTAATCGATTTTGCTTCAAAGAATCTTTAGTTATTTATTAGTTTTGTATTAGGTACCTTAAAACAATAAATAAGATATTGCAAACTGTATTTTAGATTATTTTGTATTTATAATGTAATTTATCCATATTTCAATCATGTATCTGCCAAATTTTTAAAAACATTTGATAATGGTACCTACTAGAATATTTTATAGAAATGGCATAAACAATTTTAAAATACTAAGAAATATGCAAAACTTTAATAAAGGATCAGCTGGGATTTTGATAAATACATTTTTGTGTTACCAAAAGAGTCTATAATCAGATTATGCTATAAGTTTTGGTTGGCATTTTTGTTCGTCCTATACTTTAGTTTTGACCACCGTGCCTAAAGTGTTTTCATAATATAAAAAGGGGACAAAATGTTTTTAACGGTGTACTTACCCACAATTCCAATGCATTCGCCCTGCACAGCGGTCAGGCACAACCCGTTCACTACCAAGCGATTTTTGCGGCCATACTTGGTAAGATCTTTTACGACCATCGAGTGATGGAATTTCAAGTCCATGATGTCCCCATATCTAACTTTTCGCTTTTCCTTCATAACATCGACGTCTTCTCGGGGAGGCCGTACCGGACCCAGCCCACTCACCCCTAAACGAAATAAGAAAATATCGCTGTCGTAGATGATGAGCGCCCCCAGCAGGATTGTGCCGGTTACCATGCAAACAATTATGTTTAGGCCTACTCCAGGTCTCATTATGGCGAAATTCCAAGTGCCGCCATCTGGAATTTAGAAAAATCGGACGGTTTTTTATTGAATTTAAAAAAACGGTACGCATTGAAGATGTTTTATGGGGATCGACGTACTGTATGTTCTAACGTATTTATACGTTTTCTAAGGTAAAATTTCTTAAGACAAAAATACATAAGTATACACTCCAAATCATGTGAGAAGTTTTAAATAATTTAAAATTAAAGAAAAAAATAATGTAAATTTTGAAAATTGTTTAAAACATTTGAAACGTTTATTAAAGTTTTAAAAATTTGTCTGTGGGGTGATAACACCGCGACTTAATGTTCTCATACTTAAAACTCTTTAAAATTCATCTTTGATGCAACTGACGTTTTTTATGCTAAATTTCCATTGGACCATACCATATACAGCCCTTTCAGAGTAAAACCGAATATAGGGAAACGTTTTGGGCGTGGCCTCGCCTCCCTCCAACGCGCGTCACAGTAGCTTGTGTGATAAACGACATGACGAAAGGTCGAGCAGGTAAGACGACCTTAAAAATTAAATGATAATAATGCAAAAAATCTCATTAGCGATGCAGGCTATTTGCTTAGCTACTGTGTCGCGCGTTGGAGGGAGGCGAGGCCACGCCCCATACGTTTCCCTATATTCGGTTTTACTCTGAACGGGCTGTATATGGTATATATTAGACTGGTACAAAAAAATCGAATATTTTTTTTTTCTTCAAAGCCCGCATTGAAATATCTTCCTAGTAGTGAAAAAAGAAGCCTGTGAAAATTGTAGCTCTTAATATTAATATTTAGAGGTCGCTCATAGTGAATTTCTATTTTACGTTTAAATAACACAGGAATTCTTTTTTCTTAACTTTGAAATTTTATAACTCGTTTTTGAGTAAACATATTGGAATGAACTTTATATGTTTTTAAAGAAAATTGAACGTTCTACAAAAAATGTCTCTTATAATTTTTCGTAAATTCACTCCTTTAATAGTTATTCAAGGTTGAAATTAGACATATAATAAATGTAACGTTTAACCCTTTAGCGTTCCTTGGTATAAACCTAGTACCACCCTATTTGTTCAATATTTTTACCTTGAAATCTGGGTATTATGCATCCCAAATACATCATCCTTTAATATGTGTTGCTCTATGTTATCAGTCGATTTTAAGATTTGTTCGGGTGCGGTTCTATTTTAAAAAGTGGTACACCATATATACCAGTGAGATTTCAAAAGCATTAATTTTGTAGATTTAAGTGTTTTCAATTTAATTTTCATTAATATTTATAAACCAGAAGAAATTTCGAAGAAATAAATAAGTAAGTATTATCTATAAATTTATAATGAACAACTAAAACTTAAAATTTCTAGTGCCGTACTCAGATTTTTAGTAAAAAAATATACATATTTATGAACTGGAATTAATTTTGAGAATTTTGTTAACATTTTGAATCCTTTTTTCTATAAGTTCTAATCCTAGTTTAAGATTCATATTTTAATACATGCTTCATATACATATCTTAATAAAATAACCATCAAGTTTTCATCCAGTTCTTTTTGCGCTAGGAAAATTTTGCCTAATTTCCATTTGAATGTAAACGATTTTACTAATGAAAATAATGTTTTGTGGTATGATAGCGATAAAAATAAATCATAAATTGTACTAATTGTTTTCATAATATTTTTCTAATTAGTTTTTGGTTTTGTCAATTTAATTTTCACATTATCTGATTATTAGAAAAAATGCAGGGCCGTATTTAGGACCATAAGGGCTATAATTAGAACATACAATTGAAGTTCAAAAAAATCTATGAGTATGAAAATACCAAGTTATGTTTTTTTTATAGAAGAATGGATAAACAAAAATTTAGGGATGAGTGGTACTGGAAGAAACCGCTCACTGAAGAGGAATTATATCAGCTGGCTGAGATAACTGAGGACCAAGCAGAAAATTCGGATATCGGGAGGGATTCTGATGCGGATGACCAATTTGACGTTCAGACAACAGGATCAGCTGATACACCCTACTCAAGTTTTTTATCTGCAGATAGTTCCTCTTCAGTAACCCCGAGTCTATCAGACAGTTCCAAAAGATCAACAAGAAAAAGGGCAAAACTCGCCCTTTCAATTAATTTTTCGGATTATGATTCAGACGATTCAATTGCTGACAAAACCTATACGCCAGATTCTCCAATCCGCTTACAATATAGAATATCTTCTGATAGTGACGAAGAAGTGAATGCTTTGGTCTCTACCATACCAATTATTAACTTTGTAAGATTGTTTGTTCATTTATTATAGAGTTTGGTTTTATTTTTCTTTATTTATTGTATGTTTGGTTTTTGTTATAAATCTGTTCATTTATTATAGAGTTTGGTTTTATTTTTCTTTATTTATTGTATGTTTGGTTTTTATTATAAATTTGTTTAAAAGCTATTGTATTTTTTATTCTGATTTCATTTTATTATTTTATTATTGGGTTATTAAAGGAGATGGTATAGGGTTTGTACCAGAGAACACAGCCCACATATTTAGTCCTAAATGGTCTCTGGTAAAATGGTTTACCGCCTAATAAAAAATAAAAAAATATAGAAAAATTGATTGCTAATTACATATTATCTTTTCTTGTCTCCAGAAGAATGCATAATTAGCATTTTTTATATAAAATAGTATTAGGAAAATTTTGCCCGTTAAAGGGTTAAATAACACAGAAATTTTTTTAATTTTATAACTTTTTTTTGAGTGGACATATTGGAACGAGCGATAATTTTTTTTAAAGAAACATAATTTATATAAATACTATATTATTTGTTTTGATTAAAGTTTTGTTGTTTTTTTTTATGAATTGATGTGTTATGTTTATATTTATTTTTAGTCAGAAATCATAATAACTCTGGAAAAGTTATTGTTGTAGAGAATTATATCGATAGTAAATAAGAAAGTTTAATTTAAATAGCATAATTGGTTAATATTTATCAATTACTTACGTTTTAAGATATAAAAATGGCCGTAAATTCATCAAATATTTGTTAAAAGACTATTGTTTACGATTCAGCTCTTTTTTTTCACTATTTTTTGCGAATTGTTAAAAAAAATTAGATTATACGCACCGTAAAAGTATACGAGCTTGTAGCTAAGTGAATCATAATTTATTCGCAAGACTGTACCCTGGAGACGATACCTTTAGGTAATACTTTCAAATATTTTCATAAGTTTTAATCCGGCAACGTCGCTTATGCTCAACCAATAGATATATTGGAGACTGAATCAGTGTTTGAATTTACTGCGGAAATATTATCTATTCTCGCGTACAGCGTTGCAAAGTTGTTTTTATCTGACACTAGTGATGTATACTAGGGTGATGCAAAAAAAATTTGTTTTGAATTCTATGCGAGACCACTCGGGTTTTCAAAGAGTATCAAGAAAATAAAAATCTGTAAAAATTTGAGAGAAATCAATTAAAATTTAGAGGTCGCTCAACGCAATTGTTTAATTTAGAAAAATCACGCATCTCAAATGCATTGCTATAAACAAGTAGGCATATTTCATACAAATTTGAATGAAAATGGTTGAATTTTTTTTCTTGGACTCTTAATGATTATTCTAATAAATAATAATGTCCTGATTTCAAAAAATTGTTCATAATATTTAAAAAATATATATTAATTAGCAAATATAGCTTAGTTAACAAATAATTCATTAAATTTTAAAAAACTGTAAAAACATTGTTAATAGGTCTACAAGCAATTATTCATTTACAAAAACACTCGCCCCCATCGTTAAATATGAGAAAAAAAATAATATTTTAATTAACTACACTTCGCGTCAAATTTAACGCACCACTAAAAGTTTGTCACATTTTCAAAGTTGATTTTTTCGCGAACCGTCAAACCGAATTTGGTAATTTTTGTTTTAAAATTGAGGTTTATTCTTTGGTTATGATGCCTTTATTAAAAAATTCTTTTAAATTTAAGTTTTGAGTATATACATATATAACCGTCAAACCGAATTTAGTGATTTTTATAATAAATTGTAGGTTTATTCTTCGGTAATAATGCGTTTATTAAAATATTTGTTTAAATTAACATTTTGAGTATATATAGGGTGCAAGTGTAATAATTAGTTTTTTTCCAGAAATTTGAAACGCCCTGTTGGTTGTACCAGCTATAACAGCATATGTCTCTTACAATCAAACTATAGCCCCATGTTCTCTTAACATTTTGTATTTTTATTCACCGGGTTATCTTTATTTTTAAATAAAATATACATTTAAAGATTAAGGTACCATGAATAGTGTACGATTTATCGAGGACATTTTATTTGAGCATGTTGTCCCTTTCGCCCGGTAATAATTTTTTACTGATGCAGGATAATGCTATATAGTGCAAGAGTACTTACATGAGGTGGGTGTTAAAACTTTAGACTGGCCTGCAAATAGTCCGGATCTCAACACCATCGAGCATTTGTGGGATAATATGGGTAGACGACTAATAAATCATGATTCCTTGCCTGCCTCCCTTGATGACGTAGCAAATATGCTACGAGAAATATGAAATGTCATTGATCAAGACGAGATTAGACATCTGGTTTCGAGTGTGAGCCGTCGATGTGAAGCCGTAATTAGAAGTAGAGGCAGAAATACGCGATATTGATATTCTTTAATATTGGTTTTATTGATTTTGTTAATATTTTTGTTGTTATTGTTACAATCGTTCTTTTTACATTTTTGTATTAAACTGGAGTTCTTTATTTTTTAACTGTATATTTCATTTAAAAATAAAGATAACGCGGTGAATCAAAAAACAAAATGTTAAGAGAAGATGTGGCTATAGTTTGATTATAAGATACATATGCTGTTATAGCTGGTACAATCCACAGGTGAATCAAAAAACAAAATGTTAAGAGAAGATGTGGCTATAGTTTGATTATAAGATACATATGCTGTTATAGCTGGTACAATCCACAGGGCGTTTTAAATTTCCGGGAAAAAACTTATTATTACTCTTGCACCCTGTATATACTCAAAATGTTAATTCAAAAAAATATTTTAATAAACGCATTATTACCGAAGAATAAACCTACAATTTATTATAAAAATCACTAAATTCGGTTTGACGGTTCGCGAGAAAATCAACTTTGAAAATGTGACAAACTTTTAGTGGTGCGTTAAATTTGACGCGAAGTGTAGTTAATTAAAATATTATTTTTTTTCTCAAATTTAACGATGGGGGCCAGTGTTTTTGTGAATGAATAATTGCTTGTAGACCTATTAACAATGTTTTTACAGATTTTGAAACAAAAAAAAATTGAATGAATTATTTGTTAACTAAGCTATATTTGCTAATTAATATATATTTTTTAAATATTATGAAAAAATTTTGAAATCGGGACAACATTATTTATTAAAATATTCATTAAGAGTCCACCAAAAAAAAAATCAACCATTTTCATTCAAATTTGTATGAAATATGCCTACTTGTTTATATCAATGCATTTGAGATGCGTGATTTTTCTAAATTAAACAATTGCGTTGAGCGACCTCTAAATTTTAATTGATTTCTCTCAAATTTTTACAGATTTTTATTTTCTTGATACTCTTTGAAAACTCGCATAGAATTCAAAAAAATTTTTTTTGCATCACCCTATACTTTTTACAAATTGTTGAACTTTAAACGGTTATTTATAAACAATGGACGGTCAAAAATTTTTAATTATTTTTTTTTAAACTCAGCAAAAATACATTAAAAGACTGTTAGTTTTTTGAAAGCTTCTGACAGTTAGTTTTTTTTATAATTAAGAAACTGGTACAGAACTACAGAAAGCCTATACAATCCATGTTAATTATCCAATTTTTAATTGAATTTATCTCGGGTTATAGACGGTCAATCGACTTCAAATTTTAAGGATAATTGTATTGTCATGACCTTAATATGTATACAAAAATTTAAAATTTTCTGATGGTATGCTTACAGCACGACAACTATATTTTGCTTGAGCGCCGAGAAATGAATTACCCTAATATATATATATATATATATATATATATATATATATATATATATATATATGGTGGTAGGTTGTATCAAAACCGTTCGCGGCTCAAAAGAGACGAACTAGCTTTAACCAGCTATTTGGAACTATTTCAGAAACAACAGGTTTTTTACTTTACGCCAGTAGTAGGTAACCAATATTGCAAAGACTGAAATGCCTTCGATCTCGCCACCAGCCTGTTTAGACCTGCTGGGTCTCATCAGTGTCAGGCAGTCGGTGACGGGAGACACGCATCAAGCTCGGCGCTGTTCACTTATAAAGAAATAAGTGACCAGTACAGCGGCGAGATGTATCGGCAGGTCAGTCTGGAGACATCTACCGTCACATTCAATCTACTCTAAGAGCTCAAATTTGGTACTTTTTAGGGATGTCTAAGAACCAATTTTTCAGTGTCGAAAGTAAAAAAAAAATATTCGATTTTTTTAATCACCCTAATAGCTACCTATCATTTCTCTTCGAAAAGTTATATTAAGGGCCCTATGCAGAAACGTTGATTTATTTATATCAACTTATTAAGCATATTGTATCAGTGGATATAGGTTTTTGCACAATATGGCAACATAGTAATTTTCTTTGAAAACTGTTGATTTCCATACATTAACATTTTAAATTAGACATAAAACAATTAAAACGTCATCAAGATTTATTTGACATTTGTGATATTTGCTTTTAACCATAGAAAATAATTTCGCTAATATAAGTCATGGTTTACTAGATTTGTTTTTCGGCTAATAAAATGATCTCACAGTGTCCCTTAATAACTTTTAATTAAACGGTATTTTCAATCACGATTTCGACATGTGACATGTGACAAGTGACATATGTCAATAGTTCACTAGTCTAATAAATTGCACATTTTATGTAACAAATACATTAAAAGCTGTTAGTCATTATTTGGAGTTCACTAATTAAAAATCTAAAAAAATTGATTAAAAATCATAAATGTTTTCATAAAAATTGATTTTTCTAAAAAAAGTGCCAAGCGAATTGAATTTATCCTGAAAAAAAATTGTCTTGTAAGTGATTTTTTATCAAAATATGAAAAAAAATCGGATACGTCTGAACCTTTCAATTAAAAGTTATTCATGGACACCGTGATAAATGTATTTATGTGTACATTTAATATACATTTTAAAAATGCATTACTTTTATAATGTAATAAACACATATTTAAGTATATGTAAGATAACCTACAAATTTTTACTGTCAAAATTTGCTATGTTGCCAAACTGAAATCTGTGTATATTAGGGTGGCCCAAAAAAAAGAATATCTTTTTTTTCTCGTCTCTTGTAAAAATATGTTAGTTTATCATGCTGTAAGAGCCCTGTCAAAATATTAGCTTGATTAAAAAATTTTTAGGGGTCGCTCAAGATTTTTTAAAATTTTCAAAATCGTCAAAAATTGATTTTTTGTTTTATTTTAATTTTTTTTCTTGTCTCGATATTATTTTTTTGGTAGAAAATAATAAAAATTTTGAAAATATCAAATCAATATTTTAATTTCTTAAGGTCGCTAAAAGTTCGTTGGTATTTATATTCAGAGGTCGCTCGAAAGCTTTCAAAATACTCTACTTTGAAAGTTAAAAAAATCTTGAGCGACCTTTAGAAATCAAAATATCCATTTGAAATTTTCAGAATCATTATTATTTTTAAATTAAAAAATAATATCGGAACGAGAAAAAAATTAAAATAAAAAAAAATCCAATTTTTGACGATTTTGGAAATTTTTAAAAATCTTGAGCGATCCCTAAAAACCCCGACCCCTTTTAATGGAGCTGATCTGTTGACAGGGCTCTTAAAACATGACAAACTAACATATTTTCACAAGAGACAAGAGAAAAAAAATATTCTTATTTTTTTGGGCCACCCTAGTGTATATGGGGCAAAATTTACCAAGTGTACCAGGTGTAAAAATTTTTGTCATCGATTTTGTTTAAACTTTACTTATTTGTTGTTCTTATAACGAAGAATCATAGCATAAATTTTTTTTGCTCTAGGATTGTTCATTCAAGAGTTATGGATTATTGAAATTTATCGATTTTTTACTTTTTGGTGAAATCGCTTTTTATTTAAAAATTCATAACTTCTGTTCATCTCTTTATTAAATATTTAAATTTAACCACCTTAAATGATTTTTTCCGTACTTTTCAATGGGCTATACCGTTTTTGCAAAAAAATAAAAATTGCAATTTTTTTTGAAATTTTGCAAAATTTTGCATTTTTTGAAACAATGTGTATTTTTTAATTTTTTTTAAAATAGCATAAAATCCAAGTTTATTATGTTACCTTTGAATAAAAAAAAAATTTAGAGTGGGCCCGACATGTAGAAGGGAAGTTTTTCATATTTGAATGCCGCACGGTCTAGCTATCGAATAGCTACTACACTGCCGTATGTGTTTATACCTAGTAGATGCGAGTAAACGAATATAAAATGATAATTTAAAATGTAAAATTATGTTTGAATAGTCATTGATGTATTTTAAATATTTACACTGCCACACGATATAGTTTTTTAACTGTATTTTTTGCACAAATTGTTTAAGCATGGGTCTACATAGATTTCAAAAGGAGGATCGATGATATTAAATAAAAAATTTATTGTTATAATTGTAACGGCTTGCCTATAAGCCTTTACGGTTATAACAATACATTTTTTATTTAATATCATCGACTCTCCTTGCGAAATCTATGTAGACCCATGCTTAAACAATTTGTGCAAAAAAATAAAGTTTATATACAAAAGTGCTCTTTTAGTTCCACACTTACTTCTTAAGAAGTCCCATAAGCCAACTGAATGGCTTGTGCGGGTTAGGGGTAAGAACGGACCGCGGGCTTAAAGTCCCCTCCGAAGGACTAATATATTAGTATACACAATAAAAAAAACTATAACGTACGGCAGTGTAAATATTTAAAATACATCATTGACTACTCAAACATAATTTTACATTTTAAATTATCATTTTGTATTCGTTTACTCGCATCTACTAGGTATAAACGCATACGGCAGTGTAGTAGCTATTCGATAGCTAGACCGTGCTGCATTCAAATATGAAAAACTTCCCTTCTACATGTCGGGCCCACTCTAAATTTTTTTTTTATTCAAAGGTAACATAATAAACTTGGATTTTATGCTACTTTAAAAAAAATTAAAAAATACACATTGTTTCAAAAAATGTCAAATTTTGCAAAATTTCAAAAAAAAATTGCAATTTTTATTTTTTTGCAAAACGGTATAGCCCATTGAAAAGTACGGAAAAAATCATATAAGGTGGTTAAATTGAAATATTTAATAAAGAGATGAACAGAAGTTATGAATTTTTAAATAAAAAGCGATTTCAACAAAAAGTAATAAATCGATAAATTTCAATAATCCATAACTCTTGAATGAACAATCCTAGAGCAAAAAAAATGTATGCTATGATTCTTCGTTATAAGAATAACAAATAAGTAAAGTTTAAACAAAATCGGTGACAAAAATTTTTTCATCTGGTACACTTGGCAAATTTTGCCCCATATGCGAAAATCAGTTAATATAAAATAAATCAATGTTTCTGCATACGGTCCCAAGTCTTATTAACTCTTCCAGAAGACTCTCACATCTTGCTATTAGTCTGACTTACTAAGATTCTAAGTTTTCCGACTAAATAAGTCTCATTCGGAGTTTTTAAGCGAAAGTAAGACTTTTAAAACTCTCATTTTTTACTTATAAAACGTTTTTCAGAGAAACATTTCCACAAGGCTGGTATTTAATAAACAAAGTGGTTGATTACCTTCACAAAATTTATTGGTATAATGTTGGTATCTATCTTCAGCTTGCAGTTGGCACATTTTGTTATTAAAGTAAAGCAACCAAAGATTTAGTACTCCCTCGCCGAGAGCATAGTGTGGTAAAATTACAAAGACGCCACGCATGACTTGAAGTGGTTCTAACATATTGAATGTCATTAACATTTGATTAAATATGATGATGCCAATGCCTAAAAGGTAAAAATGAATTCAAATTAAAATATAACAGATTAAAAGTACTTTATTTTATTTGAATTGCTGTACTTACATACTACAACGCTAAAAACAGAAACTTTAACAAATCCACCGGTGGCATTTTTAAATAAAAATCCAAACCAATACAAAGTGGGTAAGCCGGAATACGCAAATGCGGCCAACAAGGCTAGAAGTCTTCCTAAAAATAAAAATTAATCAACTAAAATCAATCCACTAATTCATAAATTTAAATACAACCCGGTCAACATTTAACGTAACACAGTATTGCCGTTATGTAACATAGGAGTCACATTGCAATGTAACAATGTTACTAAAATGCAACGCAGCAGTTACCTAAAATAATGGTAACATTGTAACCGTTCCAAGTTAACCAATAGGCAATATAACAATAACGTAACATTGCGATACTATTGTAATGTAACAAAATTACCAATAAGCAATGTAACAACTATGTAACATTGTGAAACTATTGTAATATAACAAAATTACCAATAAGCAATATAACATTAACGTAACATTGTGAAACTATTGTTACATAACCAGATGGTTGCAAATAGGTTCTTGCAGTTATGAAAATAACTGTAACGTAACATTAAAGAAAATGTTATGTAACGATTGTGATTGTAACATTAAAGTTACATAACCTGACCGTTGCAAATAGGTTCCGATTTCCCACTCAATACAGTTACATAACTGTAATGTTATACACATCACAATCGTTACATAACATTTTGGTTACGTTACCATGTTGACCGGGAAGGTTTCAAAAAGGGTGGCCACTATCAAACCCGGCAACAGTGGCAGTCGTGGTGGAAGTCAAATGGTAAAGCGCTTTTTGCGAAGGTAGGCGCATTTTACCAGAACACTAATTTTATCGTCAGCCGCTGTCTGTATCGCACTCATTACCTACTAAAATTTAATGTCTGAAGATACTGGACTTACAATGAAAAATAACATTAGATTGTATATTTTACCTTATATTAGCGACTGCTATAGCATTCAAATCCATTTTCTAACATCATGACTAAGTGATAGGTTAAATTCTGATAATGGACACAATACGCTAAAGAAGTATCGGGTTTTCGCAACGCGCGCTATCTGGTGGACTTCAATAGCATTGCATGAATTTAAGAATCGTCAACAACACAGATTATACATAATTTTTGAATAAATACGTAGTTTTTCACAAAAGAGAGGAAGGCAGAAGTCTTACTCGACAAATTTTGTTCAATTGCACACCTAAATCGCGCACGTTATTTGTGTTTTACGTTGCAAGGAAAAAATTAAACAAACATTTTTCAAAAGGTACTCGATTTCGATTGATTATTCCTTATATCATTGATTAAGAAACTCAACGCTTATATACGTAGTTATACAGGGTAGGAAAAATCGTAATTATCCATAGCCCATAAGTGTGAGAGAGTAAAAAGATAGTGGGGAATTCCGTAGGAAGGGTTACTGACGCATTGTTGGCCAAAACAACGGATGTGATTACTAAATCTTATTTACCTGGATTATTTTTAGACTGTAATAAACTTTTTTTCTTGAGTTTAACTTACAAAAATTCTTGTTTCTTGTATTATTAAATTTTAAGTATACGTTCTTAAAACCAGTAAAATAATCAAATAAAATATTTAAATTAATTCGATAAAATTGGTAAAAAAACTAAAATTAATTTTCAAAAGCAATATTTTATCTAAAAAAACTAAAATAAAAATATAATATAAAAAATATCAAATATAGGTACCTATTTTAATAAATAATAACTATTAATTACGTAACCTTTTTTTCATTTATTTAAACAAATTTTAACATTTTTTAAAAATTTATATACGTAGTAAAAAAAAATAAAACTAAAAGTGACATAAAAATATTTTAATTACTAAAAAATAAATTTTAAAAAGCAATATTTTATATGTAGTTACGTTAGTGTGTGTATTTTATCTAAGGGTGAATTATTGTGTTTTTATTGTAAATAAAATTCAAGAACTAAATCGTTGCATTTTCATGTTTTGCCAAAGGATCCAATTCGGTAAGTACGTTTGTTGGTGCAGAATTAACTAATGATAACTTTTTTACAAACATAACCTTAAATCCCATTTTTATATTTGAGTTCTCTAAAAAAACGCGGACAACTGCATTTTAAACAACAAAATTTACCTACGAATTCATGGCAACATAATATTATATATAATACATAATATAATGGTATTTTACCGTTGAGTGGAGACTTTCTTATTCAACGCTTTTAATAATGCTAAATGCTGTTTAAATTGAGACGACTTATTTGTTTAACGATTTTGACTGAATTGAAATGTTTAAACTTTTCATGTTAATCACTACTAAAATGTATATTTATTGTATCTAAGGGGTAAAATTTATATTTACATTGCAATATGCAATTTATTTTTTAATTCAGATTAGAACTGTTTATTGGAAAACCGGTAAAAACTTAACCCATGGATTTTCTCTCGATATACACCCAATAACACAACAAATCGAGCCACGGTTTTTTTCCGTCATTTATTAACATTTTCCGGCTTTATTCTCAAAAACACTCGTTTGTAACATAAGCGTTGGACAGCTGATTATTAAAGTGGTACTTTTGTTAGGATGATAACAGCCGAGTGCCACCACTACTAGCGATGCTTCTTTAGCGTATACACATCACGGTGGAACTATATTTCACCTGATCGACAACATGGTTGCGAAAGTGGTTACCGATACTCCAAGTAACTGTTTTGAGCCTAAACCTCTCAAATGAATAATTTGTCAAGGACGATTTAAAACAAAGAAGCTTTCAAGATAATCTCTAGCAACATTACATTCATGGATTCTGCATCTCAGCTAAAATATGGACTTTGCGGCACCGGCACCAATTTCCTTAAAAGAAGAAAATAAAAAAACGCGTTTAAGGCACAGGAATCTTCACTAATAGTTAACTTTACCCCAATAGACAAGGGTTTGATAAGAAGACTGGGAGTGATTTTGGAGGTTATTTGTTGCCAACTAATACCTTTAAGTTCATTGTTGTCACAACATTATAATCGTGGTATTATTTTCCTGCACTGTTCAAAAAATATTTTTTACGAAGCAGAGATTCGGGGTCTTGATCTATCTTTTGCTAAGTTAACGGGTCCGTTAAAACGGTAACTTTTGCTCAGTCTGGTTGGTGGTTTGCCACGGTTTGGAAGAAAGTTTGAGTCAGTGTCGTATCTCTGGTATAACTACACAGAATGAGATAAAAGGCCTTAGATGAAGAAATTTTATTATTATTTATTATTTTTCTTTTATTTTAATGTTTATTATTATATTATTATTTTTCTATGTGGCTAGGTATAATGCGACCACTCCGGTACCAAACTTCCACTTCGATTGTGGCGCTAAATTAAATTTTGCTAAATTAACGGGATCTCTGAAGCACCTGCTAAAATTTTGAGGTTAGAATCTGTTAAAATTGATTTATGAGTCATGGCTGCTTTGATATCGTAAAGATAAACAGCCGAAAACACCTAGTGGGGGAAACAAGACTATATTAAATGAAACGTTTGAGCTTGTCAGGTAATAAAACGCAAACTAAAACTTATTTCTTTTCTGGTGATATTTTTAGCCGAACCAGTTAGCCAGAAAGATAGATCTTAAGGATACAGCTTAAGATTGTAGGAACAAAGGTTAAACATTCTTCAAAACCCATCACGCTCAGAAATGTTCTCGCTTAGCTACTAATAAAGACGTTTTTCACGGCAAATAGGTTAATTTAGACCCATTTATCACAAGCTACAAATATAAGAAAAAATATACTCAACTCAGTGTTAAAGCTTTGGAATTACTGTAGTGACTCCTACAGTGTTGAAAACTCGCTTTTTAATTTACTTTTCCTTTTAACTATAAATGAAATATGTGATTTGAAATGCCATACGTTTTCTTCACTTGAGTAAGTGAGAGTTCTTCGGAATAATTTTTGCATCATGTAACCAAATTAATGGTACATGGATTTCGGACACTCAGTGGTTAGGAGGAGAGCTGGGTTCGTGGATTATATTTTTACTAGAGGTTGAGAAAATTAAGATAAGTTGGGCACCAATTGTTTTTATTGAAAATAGTGGAGAAAAAAACAATAAAAAATAATACCAGTTCCAAATTTCGTCTGGCGTCGATGGTGTTCGTTCTTGGTTTTTTTCCTGATGGTGTTCTTTCTTGGTTTATTATTCTGATGATGTTCTTTCTTGGTTTATTTTTCTGATGATGTTCTTTCTTCCAGAATTCTTTCTTGAACGATTTTTTTTTTGGAAGGGCTGCTCCTCGTGAAGTCGGCGTAAGTATTCTTGCGACAGGAAACAGGCCACGTGAATTTGTAGAGAAACTTGTTTCTTCCCAGATTTTCCAAGTTGGAAACTTTTGTTGCAGACAGCAACCGTAATTGAAGTAGGATCGAAGTAGGATGTACAAATTACCCGGCAAAACCGTAATGGTACAAAAAATGGAGAAAATGGATATAAAAGATATAAAGTATATACCGAAAATGCATATACCGAAAAAGCCCTATAGGAGGAAAATAAAATAAATATTTGCCTTCAGAATAAATTAAAATAAACTTACAGATTTTTTCCGGCAATACAAAACTCACTTTAAATCAATTTGAAAGTAAAACTTAAAAATCTTATATGCAGGTAGGTACGCAGGACGCAATGCATCGAACATAAATGCCCGTGATTTTAAATCCACATGTGCATCGAAGAATTCGGTGTGCGAGACAAAAAATTACTAATTATAAACCGCGCCAAATATTTAAATTAATTAGAAAGATAAGTATACCTTTAATATTTAATTTGATCAGGAGGATTTTTGAAGACTGACTTCCCATTTAAATAAAACAATTGGATTTTAGAATAAGTTCAAAAATAAATGAATATTGATATAGTCAAAAGTTAACAAAATAACTTTTATAAAAACTAAAAAAGGTAAGTATTGATAAATTATTTTTATAATTTTAGTTTACTTTATGAATTTAAACAAAAATAAAAGGAAATTCCAAAAATATGACAAAACAAACAATTACTTTAAATTATTTATAACATAATATAGGCAACCACCATAACATTAATACATTTATTTAGTTTTTAAATAAAATACTTTTCAAGACTTAAACCTTGTATCATTAAAAATGAATTGTCGCATTAAGAAAAATTTAATGCTACAATCATAAAGACTAAAACATTGTTGGTAAAATGCACGTATTTAGAGCATTTTTTAGGTAAACGCCTCCATAGCCTCAAAAGCTTTACAATTTGACTTACACCAGGACCATGGTCACCGCCGCAGTTGCTGCGTTTGACAGTAATATACATATATATTTGTATCGCCGCGATTTGAAACGTCGCACTATGCGATATTTTGCCAGTTTAGGGGAAGAAAAATTTAAAAACCATTTTTTTTACATAATAAATGTTTAGTTGGACACCTAATACTACAGAAAATCGGCCTATTAACCTTTTCTGGCTTTCTAGAGATAAGCAGTTTTTTGTCTATTACGTAACTCTTTACTAAAGAGTCTTTAGTGATTAAATATCCTTCTGAGACGAATCGGTTGAGTTTGGGATCTTTAAGTAAGTGAAACACATGTTTTAAATTATTTCAAAACATTCCTGGCTTTAATAATTTTAATACAAATGTTTATAGGAACTTTTTTAACATTTTAAAAATAAAATTTACTCACCCAATTCAGCATAGGTCGTAAATCCAGTATATTGAAAAAATCTCAAACATAAAATGTAAACTATCGAAATAAAAACAAAGGTACAAAAATCAAAAATGAACGTCACCATCCAAAAAATCCACATTTTCACGCCGGCTATTTTTTGATAGATTTTGAAACTTGAGATGCGCTCTTCAATGATAAATACAATGAATATTGTAGTCGAGAAAGTAAAGCCCATTCCAACAAACAATGCCATGGAAAACCCAAAGCTACTCGTCGAAAGTTCATACATCTAAAAAAAAAAAATCTAATTAAATTTGTTTACAAATGGTGTCGTACGAAACAATGTCCAAATATTGCTCTTTTGAGGTACAGAATAAACGTGAATTGTAATGATTATAGGCGATCGATTAGGTTGGGTTTTTGTTTTTCTGTTAACATTTTTGTCTGAACTGGTTTAAATTATGGTAACCTTTTCATAATGCATTTTTGCAGATACCATAACTGGAATCGTGCTTGGGAAATAGGTTTAAAAGTATGATAAAGTGTATTGTATTGTAAGTGTATATATGACGTATGTCAGAAAATGTAAGAACACAACCAAAATAGCTTACCTAGTAGGAAATTTTGATCCGTCCTAAACCGATATGCAAACCAAAACTACAATATCCTCGGCACACTAGACTATCTGCTAATTGTGATTGCTCCCAATGCTAACTTTCGAAAATACTCAGAGATACAGTCGAATGGCCCATTTCACAAGTGCGAAGCATAGTTAATAAATTGACCGCAAGTGCGACCTAAGACCATGAAAAGTCAAGTTGATTACATCTAGGGTTCGCAATCTCGAAGAGAAAATATGATCCCGGGATTATGATATCGATATTTAACAATCCAGGGAATACCGGGATTTCGAGATTGATATTAAAAATTAAAAGGATACAAAGCATAGGTAGTTATTAATTTTATTAATAAAAGAAAATTCAAACTAAAAAATATTTCTAGGTGTTCAGCGGCTAAACCAATACCGACTCCACACTAGTGGGGACATTAAGAAATCATATTTCAACTTGAGGAAGGGATCCCTGCTTCCGCCATTTTCAAAAAGCGACATTTCTTTTTTTAGAGTTGATGTTACCGAATCGGTTTGATTTTTATTGGGTTCATTGCGTTTTTTGTCAATGATTTAAAAAATTGTTAGTTTCAATTTGAGGCTGGAGTAGTAGCATGGCTGAAAGATAAATTTTATCCTCGTCATTGTCTTCTTAAAAAGAAACATTTGGTTTTTTTTTGTAAACGTTTTATAAGTTTTTCAAGCATTTCCCTAATATTTTTTTTGTTTAGAATACCGAACAGAGCATCTGATTCTTTATAATTGGGATTATGCAAATAGCGGATTATTATGAGCAATAAGTTCTGCGCTGAGCAATCCTTACCCTTAGGGCTTCATATAAGTTGGCACTTAGGGAAGTGTTCAACATAAATTTAAATACTAAAAATACCGGGATCATGATTTGTGATCCCGGTATTTTCGGTATTGAAAAACAGACGAGATCCCGGGATTTTCCGTTTTGGGATTTCGGGATTGCGAACCCTAATTACATCATATAATATAATACTGCGTAGAAAACACCGACACCAACACTGTTTACTATTTTTTATTTAAGATTTTATTATTTTGATCTTAGATAAACTTTTTTATGTCCATTATGTAAGGCCGCTTTTTAAAAAGTTTATTAAAATATTTAGTTTAGTATTAACAATTTTTAAATTCATTAACCGAAAAAATTTAAGTTGTTCTGAAAGTAAGTTATTTCCTAGCTGTATGACAGTCTTAGCAATATCTGCGCCGTAGTATGATATATACATGGGCGACAACAGTGTCATAAGTCAAAAAAACTGAATTTTGGTGTTTTTATTGCAATTAGTGTAAAATTACTCATAGTTTATGCTGCAACAGTGACATAAACTTATTTTTAAATTAATCCGTAGATGGTGACTTGGGTCTGTTTGCAATTTGTATAATCCATATCATAATTTTCATCAACAGTGTTATAAGTAAGTTGCCTGTAAGTTCTTAGCGTAGGTTGGTAAAATTGCCAGCAATAAAATATTGAATAGGTGACGCTCCTCACCCTAAGGCAAACGGTCGTGTGTCTAGGGTCTCGTTTAACGCGTTCGTATTTCCATAGTGCTACCACTGCTATCGGTGTTCAAATTCATAAAATAAATTATTGATTATACACTTGGTCTAGCAGAACCAAATGCAAAAAGGGTGCAAATTGCGTGTGGCACCTCTTCCTGGATTAAGTCTCAAAGTGCTCTACCTGTGAAAAAGGGATAACCAACACAAAAACAACATCTGCCTGTCAATGCATCTGAAGTCTGCAGTAAATCTACAAAAATTGGATGACCTTGATAATACCTAAATAATAAATTTTTAATGCGAAATTAATTAGTCGCCAACAGTTTCCATAAAACAGCAAGCATAGCCAAAAGAACTTATAAATAAGGGCTTATACAGGGTCCGGCATCAGAATTGAACGGTTTTGAAAAGGTTGCTATGGAAATACTATTGATTTGGTATATGTCAAATAGTGACAGACTTATACCTTATTTTTGAAGGTTTCGTGTGCAATGGCAAACTGGCCGATTAATCAAGGGATCTGCTGTAAATTCGTGTACCCTGACCCAGTCAGAGAAGCGTTTGAGCGCAGTCCACGATGTTCTGTAGTTCGGCACTCGATTGCTCTACACATTTCAGACCAAAGTTTGCAAACAATTTTACATCTGGATTTAGAACTCCATCTGTACAAGATACAAGTCTGTCACTATTTGACATATATCAAATCAATAATATTTCCATAGCAGCATTTTTAAAACAGTTCAATTCTGTTTTCCGGACCCTGTATAAGCAGTCCTTAATCACTCAAGTTCAGATAAACCCTAGACAAAAAAAAACTCATCCTAAAAAAATCAACATCTGTAGATTACTAAGCACATAACCATAAATTACGTTCTATGCGAAATAATAAACAACCGCACAGTGGGGTGCAACGTTATCGATAGTCAGCAAGATCGGAATCCGACTAGGACAGAGATACGGACACATACGAACAGGAAATACTTTAAGACCAGCAAAGATAGGTCCTAGCAGTGTACTAACCAACCAAGCCCCATTTATGAGCCCAAATTAAATGGGGTGATTACTAAATCCCTGGTTGAAAGGGAATCCGGATTGTACTTAGTTTTGGGTCAGTTCAATGTCCCTCAAAAACCAAAATGTTGGTCCTCCTTGTCCGCACTCCACTAGCCTAAATCATCTATTCATTATTATATTGTTGATTATGAATATGTGAAACGTATGACTGGCCCCATCGGCAACGCCTTAGGGTGAGGAGCGTCACTTATTCAAAATTATATCTTTATGTCACTGTTGCAGCACAAACTATGAGTAATTTTACACTGCACTAAAAACACCAAAATTCAGTTTTTTCGACTTATGACACTGTTGTCGCCTATGTGCGATATATACCACAGCGCAGATGTGCTAAGACTGTCATACATCTAGGAAATAACTTACAGAACTTAAATTTTTTTGGTTAATGAATTTAAAAATTGTAAATACTAAACTGAACATTTTAATAAACTTTTTAAAAACCGGCCTTACATAATGGAAATAAAAAGGTTTATCTAAAAACAAAACAATAAAATCTTAAATAAAAAATAATAAACAGTGTTGGTCCTCTATTACGTTGTCCATTTCGGTAGCTCGGTATTTTCTACGCAGTATTGCACGTAGATTCTTCAATTTTAAACGCTTTGTCTTATATATTTGTTTAGTATCGGCAACTTGATGTAATCAACTTGACTTTTCATGGTCTTAGATCGCACTTGCGGACAATTTATTAGCTATGCTTCGCACTTGTGCAATGGGCAAAATTGTTATAATCACTCGTTCAATTGTGCCTAGCGTATTCCTTCCTTTTGCCATTCGACTGTATCTCTTCCGTAAGTTAGCATTGGGAGCAATCACAATTAGCAGATAATCTAGTGTTCCGAGGATATTGTAGTTTTGGTTTACATATCGGTTTAGAATGGATCAAAATTTCCTACTAGGCAAGCTATTTTGGTTGTGGTCTTACATTTTCTGACATACGTCAGTTAGTTTTAAAAGTCCCATGACCGCACATAATACCGTGTTCACCAAGTCACCACCGTGACCACCAAGTAAGTAATTCTGGATTTTGTTTATTACATAGTTTACATTGTCTCGCGTAGTTTTAAAATTAGTTATTTCTATTGAGTCGAACATTTCTTGTAAGTGTTGCCAACTCATAAACTTAAAATACAAATATACTAAATTCATCAGCATGTAACAGGAATGATCTACTGGGATTGGATCGTACTTATATTATATGTTTGATATTGGTATAATTTAGTAGTTTTACTGCCAGTATATTCACCTTCCATTAAATTTTCACAATGCTTAATTGTCATAGTTACAATGTCAACAATTGTAACTTTAAAAGTTATCTGCATAGCAAATTTAAAGGGAGGTAAATATACCAGCTCTTAGTGGAGTTAAATTTTTTGATTAGTAGTAGGTATTTTTAATAGTATTATTTCGCCTTGTGATCATAACCTGTTGGTTATATAAACTTTGTTTGATTAATGAACACGTGTTGATTGTTTTATACATTTATTTAAGATCGCTCTGTTGAGATATTTTAAATCCAGTGATGCTCTGTCAAAGGAAATTACAGTATTTCTTGTCACTATTACTTTTACAACCAAATGCAGAACAAACCAACATTGTATTAAATTGTATTCTATTAAACCAACGTTTTAATTTCTTTTCGAGTAAAAACACAAAAAATAACTTATAAAGTTGATACTGACAGCAGTGGCGGCCCGTCAGGGGAGGCAGGTGAGGCAGTTCCTCATCATAGAGAATTAAAAAATTAAGTATAATTTAAAAATTTTACTTTCTACGATACACTATAAATTTTTAATATTTGGATTACATGAATTGTGAAATAGTCAATAAAATTGATTGATTTTATACGTGGAATACCCAGCAACATTTAAATTAATTGAATTTGAAACGACCCCAATTAAACTAATATTTATAGCTAGATGATTGGCTCAGAAGCATGCCTGAACTAATTTAGACTCACGATTGGCGTTAGCCTTGTTGTCTCGTTCTATTACAATGCGATATCATAGTTGTCTCCTTCTCTCGTATAGGCAGGCACGCCTACATCCAAGGAAATAAGCAGGTGTTGTGGCAACACTGTTGCGGAATTTTAGATAAATTATACTTCACACGTTTTTCAAAATTCAATAATAAATGGTAGTATTTTTCTTATAATAAATCGATTTAATCGAAATTATATTTTTATTCTAAAATAAACATATTTTAACACTATCGCCATCTTGTAGCCATCACAGTAAACAATAAAATAAATACAGATTCCTTCTTTAGGTTTGTTTTGGTTATAAAATTCTGAACTGTTTAAAGAACAAATCTGTGGTTATTTACGCAATATTTTGTTTATTCTTTTTTTATGAGTTTGTCTATTTTATGATTCTTTTGTAAGTGGTTTATTCTGTGGGTTTCGTTAATTGAACTTGGTGATTTATGTGAATTTAGTCTGTTTGGTTCTTGCTGAACAATAAAATAGAGGATTCCTTCCCCACCAAAGTCCAAGTTTTTTACTTAGATTTAAGTATAGGTTGTGAACTGCGACGTCAGTTTTTTTAAGTTGGGTTTAAAAAAATTTATTCGCCTTTAAATGAGGGCGAAACAGTGCCTCTGTCTCACCAAATTGAAATGTCACGGGCCGCCACGCATGGCATGCTACAATAAATGGAAACGTAACATTATTTTAATAGGTTTATGGTAATTTGATACCACTTGGCAGTTTGTAAATTGGATATTACGACCTTAAGAATATAATTAAGAATTAACTTAACCAGACATTTCCCAAAACGGTCACAAGGAAATGGTAGTTAACATAGAATCTTTCTTATAGATGCAAAAGTGAACTCTAGTATCTTATAAATAAAGAGTACTATAAACGATATTGCAAAAACGATGCCTTCCTATAATTATAAATAGCACAACTACTTACCCTTGATTTTGTGTCAAATGGTAGCGGATGGTTGGTAAATCTTAAATCACACTCTGGACATTTTCCAACAACCTGGTAAATGGCAAGAAATAAAAATGACGCTGCTATTCCCAAGGAATGGTATAAATTGGTATTGAAGTACATAATCATATCAATAATGTCTTGTTGACCAGCATTATTCTCTCCTTTCACAAAATCTATACCCATAATGTACTGATATTGTGAATTATCACGGTCATCACTTAACTGAAAAATAAATTTATATTATCAAAAACAGTAGGTACTTATTCTTAGGTTTATGTATTTTGGCAATACACTTTACAATTCCAAGTAGGCTATAAGGCTATAAGTGGCCGATACGTTTCTTCCACTAAAGTAGCATTACTTGGGATACTTCATCCAAAGGTAAGCGCACTTTTTTTAAGCTCCTCTATTGTAGACAAGGTGATCCGGGTTAAACGTTATTAAATTAAAGGATCGATAGAGAATCAAAATGAAGAAAATTTTTTACAGAAAACTTATTTAAGAAATTAAATATTAGAAATATTTCCCAACACCAAAACAAAACACAAAGTGGTGGTGTTAATATTTCTAATATTTGTTTAACTTATCACCAAAGTGCATTATTGAATAAATCGTGAAGCATTTTCACTTAATATTAAAAAAGGTGATCATTTAAACTCTTGACGCAGTACTTTAACCATTGTTGAATAAGACTGAATTAATTTTCTTTTTAAATTTAAATTAAATTTCAAATAAAGAAAACCAAATTGTATTAGCAAAAAGGAGGGTTATGTTGTTTTTAAAATGAAGATTTACGAATGCGTAGAGGGGTCAAAAAAAATGTTCACAAGTTTCAGCCAAAGCTAACATTGATTATTGCAATCTCTATCCTTTAATTGTAGACCGAGCCTGTACAATGATCTTACATTTGAGAAGGTCCATTCCAAAACTCGGCTTATCCACTTTTTGATAAAAATGAGTTAGTGGTGTCTGCACATTTAACATGTAGCCCCCTATACCCTAAAAAGGTGATAATATTCTAAAACTCACCTTATTCCATTTAAAACTAATTTACAAATTGACTATCGTTTCAAAACTTGCCTTATCTATAGGTTATATCATGTGAGAACTGGCTTATACGTAATAATTTTAAATTATTTCAAATTGGAGCTATACCTTTTTAATCAAAGCATAAAAATTTTATACTTTGTAATAGGCACCTACATTTTTCAAATAAAGCTACAATTAAAAATGAAGCTACAATTGTAGAATGAAGCTATAATTGTAGGATATACATTGCAACAAAGTATAAAAATTTTATACTTATGTCTATATGTTTCGTTTAAAGTATTCTGTTGGCCTGATACGCGTTAGTACTCACGTGTAAGGTTTTTGACATTTTGCTCAAAATCACCCAATATGGATAATAGAGTGTGTCATTTTTAAACAACTTTTTTTTTTTCAACTAAAAAATAGGCTAAAAACTTTTAGGAAGGTGAAAAAAGAAACCTCTAAAAATTTGAGCTCTTAATATTAACATTAAGTGGTGCCTGTTCCTAACTTTCCATTTTCCATTTAAATAACATGGAATTTTTTTTTTCTTATTTTTGTAGCTTGACATTGGAGCATTGTAAAAACGAACTGAAAAATTATTTTGGTAGGAAATTGAACGCTCTACAAAAAAGTTTCAATATATTTTTTCATAGAGTGAGCCGTTCTGAAGGTATTCAAACTTAAAGTTGCCTTTAACATTTCGAATCGCGGCACGTTAGCGTGCCTCTAGTCACTGTGTAATCCGAACGGTAATATACCGACTGAGCCGATATAATCTTTTATCAGAGTTATCGACTTTAAAATTATAAAAAAAGAAAGATTAAAAATTCAATACAATAAAAAATTCATTGTTTTATTTAATCTATTATAATTATTGAACAAATTTATTGAACACAAATAACTTTTTTTGATAGTAAATAAAATAAAATGGAAAAAAATTTAGATGTAAGTGTTATTTTCTTTCTATACTAAAATAATTATTTTTTCTTAAAATAATTTTTAAGACATAAAAAGTATTAGTTTAATAAAATAAAAGTCATAATTTCATACATTTGCAAGTTTGAATACCTTCAGAACGGCTTACTCTATGAAAAAATAAACTAGTACTTTTTTGTAGAGCGGTCAATTTCCTACCAAAATAATTTTTCAGTTCGTTTTTCGAATGCTTAAATGTCAAGATACAAAAATAAGAAACAAGAAACAATTTTTTTCCATGTTATTTAAATGGAAAATGGAAAGTTAGGAACAGGCACCACTTAATGTTATTATTAAGAGCTCAAATTTTTAGAAGCTTCTTTTTTCACCTTCCTGAAAGTTTTTAGCCTGTTTTTTAGTTGAAAAAAAGAAGTTGCTCAAAAATGACACACCCTAATGGATAAGCCGAGTTTTGGAATGCACCTAATCATTTGTAATAGGCACCTATATTTTTCAAATAAAGCTACAATTAAAAATGAAGCTACAATTGTAGAATGAAGCTATAATTGTAGGATATATATTGCAACATTCAAAGTAAGTTTTACCTTAATCTAAACGAAAAAATGCTACGAAAATTGTTTCTTTATTATTAAAATATAAATAGCAACCCATGTACTAACCATCTCAATAAAAAATTCCGTCATATTGTTGGTGTACAAAACATTGCCGCCTTCTTCCTGAATTTGTTTAAGCAAAAGGTCTGCATATTTATTATCTTTATTTTCGGGGTCCAGGTGCACCAACGTTTGCGTCGAGTTGTAAAGTTTTAGGGGTTTCGGTGGCAGCTCTTGGTTCAGATTCAGTAAAATTCCGGCCGTAAGTCCCAGGAACAGCAAAGGAATAACTAGCTGCATAAGGGTCCACCAAGAGTTGAAGGTATAATAGTACTTTTTCATAAACATCGCTTGGATGTGGTTACGCACCAGAATTGTTTCTTTTTTCACCCTGTGGTGTATGTATCTTGCGTGAACTACAAGAAAATAACTTAAAAATTAATTGAAACACAACGAAATTATGGCAATGGCCATGTTATTGGCTTTAATGGAAAGATAATTTAATTCCGCGCCGCACTGTCGCGACAGTCGAATTTCTGGCCGACATGTCGGCCAGAAATTCCCTACATTGAAACATTTTAATAATGATGGAACATTGAGTTTTTTTATGCTAAAAACGGTCAAGTAGCCCATTAAGCTTACAAAAACACCAGAAATATGTCTGTGAGTTTTATGTTGGGTTTGACAAATGTCGGTAAATTTAATGCTTATTGCGAGGGGTAAACCACTTTAAAATCTTAGAGACCAACGTTCAATGTTAGTGGACGTTGTGTTGTGATTTTTTTCCTTATCAGTCGTTATCAATAAGGAAAACTTGCTTAATCAGTGCTTAGCGACGCGTTGCGCATGACATCCCTTGTTATTGTTATCCTTAGCCTTTAATTTATAAGCGATTTTTAATTTTAAAAAATCAGTGGTTTACCCCTTGACTTATTGTCTGGTTAATTTTGTTTGAACAAATCGCTTAAGTTTAAGATTTTACAGTTAGAGGGTTGATTAACTTTTTGACATACACTATGAGTGGGACAGGCAAGTTTAAGGTTTTATACTATTTAAATTATATGGATTTCTTTGCGAATTTCCAAAAAAAAATAATGATTTAGTGAACGCATGTTAAAGCAAAAATTAACATATCACATGGATATTTCACCAGATAGATATAATAATAATAATAATAATAATAATAATAATAATAATAATAATAATAATAATAATAATAATAATAATACTTTATTTATGCTTAAAAACAATACAAAATTGTGTGCACAAGTCGGGAACATAAATTAATAAATATATAATTATCAACTACACTAATTATAAATAAAAGAATAAATACAAAAAAATTCGTTGCATAATAAAATAAAGAATACAACAAATATAAACAAGCAAATAAAAGATTAACAAAAAAAAATACAATTAAAAAACATTAATAATCAAAACACTACATGGCATCAATACATTACATTAATATCACAATATTCCAAAAACTCTTTCGTGCTATAAAAACAATGCTCTAACAAAAACAATTTTAAAGAAGATTTCAATTTTTTTAGAGAATATTTTTTCCAACTAGGTGGAATCTTGTTGTAAAATATCACCGATTGGTATTTAAAAGACTGCTGCATTTTAGAAAGCCTGCATTTTGGCAGAGCTATCAAGCCTTTATTCCTAGTATCATGACCATGATGATCCCCCTGGCACTGATAGTCCTCAGAATGAGCATACAAGATACAGTCCAAGATATACTGACCATTAAGGGTCAAAATCTTTAGATAGAGATATATCAAGATCTACACTGAACTACACGTTTTTGTTGATGCTCTTAAACTCTCCAGTAGGTAGCTTTATTATCGAAAAAAAAACTTTTGCCGAATTTGCCTATCCAGAAGAAAACGCAAGATTTTCTGTGTGGTCTTTTATAATTTGATTAAAAATAAAGCTCTATTCGGGTAAGATTGTAAAAGATTGTAAAAGACTTTATGAATATGTGATCTGTCATTTTGAAAATTTTGACGTTTTTTTCGAAATGTCATATTTAAGGCAATTTTAGTGGTTTTAATGGATTTTTTTATTTATTTTGTTTAATCGTTTGAGCTGTGGTGTTTATAAATTGATAGAGTAATTTTAAAATACCCTGAAAACAAGAAACATTAATTATTAAAAATCAAAAAGTTTTTTTAATATAAAACAAAATATATATACAGTGTGACCATTTGTTTGCGACTCACCCCTGCTAAATCCTTATTTATTGTGCGATTTTAACCGAATTTGTTTTAAAGTGTAGATCTTGATAAACCGTATTTTTGGTGCAAAAAACGCCTTATTAGTACAAAATACAAGGCATACTATGTCAGTTTTTACTAAATATTATTGAAAGTGCCGTGCTTAGATTTTGTTTAAAAAAATCGCTAATATGAATTCTTAAAAATTTTCCCTTAAAAACTGACATAGTAGGCCTTGTATTTTGTAAAAATATGGCGTTTTTGCTTCAAAAATACAGCTTATCAAAGCTTAAAACAAATCTGGTTAAAATCGCACAATAAGTAAAGATTTTACAGGGGTTTTTAAAAAATGTATGCCAAATTTGAATGTCCTAACTTATTTCCTTCTATAGAAAATATATTTCCTATAACGAGAAGTTTTCCAGATAGAGGATTTTTGCCTTAAATGTATTAATTTTTTAAAATTACTATTAATCTATGAAAATGTATAATTTTTTGAGAAAATATAGAGAATATAAGTTACTTTTAAACAAAACAAAAGAAATCATGTATTTTCATCCTATTTTACTTCGCTCGATTATTACTTACAATTTTTCATATAAGGGAATTTTGCTTTAAAGCGCAATAATTTTATAATATCATTAATAATTAATGATCAATTCTTATTTTTTGAGGAAATGAAGGGAAAATATGGTACGTTTAAACAAAAAATAATAATTTATGTATGTCATATCATAAGGTCATTTTAACTTCGCTCAATTATTACTATTATTGATATTTTATTGAAAATGGCATAAAAAACCAAAATATCAGTGATAATTTGCATTTAATGCATAATTAGTGTGTTTTAAAACGTAATTTAATTTTGTACTTTTCTAATGTTTGTGCTACCTAAATATCTTTTAGGCAATCCTAAATTATTTGTTACCTATATAAAACAAATAATTTAAGATTAACTAAAAGGTATTTAGGGAGCACCAACATTACAAAAGTATAAAATTACAATTAGTTAAATAATGAAATTGATTTTTAGATTGTTTTCGAACTATTTATTTTTAAAGAAAGTAACATAATTAAAATGGCAAAAAATAAACAAAATAAAACCCAGATAATTAGGTTTTTGGTATTTTAAAAATTGTTTACAACAGTCTTTTTTTTGCATCGGGAAATGCTTTTGGAAACTTTGCACAAGCAGTTCAACAAATTGTTTCTGGTCTTCATTGTGTGTTATGATGGAGTTATACTCGTCAACTAAATGCACAGCTCTTTCGGCAGCATCGTTAACGATTCTCAGCTGAGTAACAGTGTCATCGATATCCCATCGCTAAAAGAATCTTGTTGCTTGTGGTGTTATAATATATTATTGTACAGCTTGCGTCAGAGTTTCGAAATGCATTTCCCGACGCAAAAAAATACTGTTATTTTGTTTATTTTTTGCCATTTTAACTATGATACTTTCTTTAAAAATAAATTGTCAAATCAATTTCATTAATTACATAATTGTAATTTTGTACTTTCTAATGTTGGTGCTTCCTAAATATCTTTTAGGCAATCTTGTTTTATAAAACAAATAATTTAAGATTGCCTAAAAGATATGTAGGTATACTATAGTACCAACATTAGAAAAGTGCAAAATTACGTTTCAAAACACAAGAATTATGCATTAATTGCAAATTATCACTGATATTTTGTTTTTTATGCCATTTTCAATAAAATAACAATAAAAGTATTAATTGAATGAAAAAGACCTTACCATGGACATACATGAATTCTTTTTTTTTTGTTTAAAGTACCATATTTTCCCTTCATTACCTCAAAAAATTATAATTGTTCATAAATTATTAATAATTTTATAAAATTATTGCGTTTTAAAGCAAAAATCCCCTATATGATGACCTGTAAGTAATAATCAAGCGAAATAAATTAGGGAATGTTGAGGGTAGTTAGGTAGATGTGAATGATAGGCTGGTTGTGGTTGAAAGAGAGAGAGTTTTATTAAATTAATACCTATTTATACATAATTCTAATGTGACGTAGCAACTATATAGTTTAAACAATGTGCAAATATGCAGTTTTAACGGCGATGACCGATTAATTGGTACTGATTTTGTAGGCTCAGCACCTTTGGGTCGGTCACCGCTTCGAAATATTAAATTATTTAAATATAAAAAATTAAAATAATAAAAATTAAAAAATATTAAATATAAAATTTTGGAAAGTATAAGATATTAAATTTGTTTAATTGACGATTAAACAGTCTGCCCCCTCTCGATTGCTGGTTTGTCATCAGTTCCCTCATTTAGGTCTCCTGGATGCTGGATTATAGTGGCATTAGTTCCATCAGTTGACCCTCCTGAGGTGATGATGTGGTGGTTGTTGAAGCTCTATGGTCAGCAGACTTCCTTCGGCATCTTTGACAGAACCGGTACCCTGCGGTCAAAGTTATCATAATGATGATCAGGGTTGTTGACGTGAGGATACTGATTGATATGGAATGATGATGAATCTTTCTCCATTGGTTCTCGTCGAGCTTTTCCTGAAGGTTGTTTTCCATGGTCTGAAGATGTTCCAAGTTCTGGGAATCCCTAATCACGGATTCAATGGGCTCCATGAGATAGGAGTTGTTGGTTGTCAGTTTGAAATTTGTGAAGTTGTATGATATGGTTTTCGTGAAGGATTCTATCACTGGGATTGAATCAATCCTTCTTGGCGTCAGGATGTTGGATTTTGTTTGTATGATGCAGTCCTGGGCAATTTGGATTATATTCGTCTTGTTTAGCGTAACTTTTTCTCTCACGCCATTGCAAGTTATCGCAATTCTGGTGGGTTTGCTTGTAACTGCCATCCATGCATTAGTTGTAGAGAGTTCTTTCCATATTGTTCCAATAAGACTTCGCTGGACCAGTTTGCATTTGGTTGTCTCGAATCGTTGGTATACTTCATCAATTACACAATTAGATGCCGTTTCTATATTTTTAACTGATGTTGGCGAACAGACATATTCGTTTGCTGAGGTTAATATGCAAGACTTGAACTCGTTTTCGTTCAATCCATATTATAATTGACGGTTGTAGTCGGCGTTAAGAAATGGAACGGTGACGTCTGGTTCCCAATATGATGTGTTAGATATTTTCAAAGGAATTGGGGTCACTTTCATCAAGGTGAAGTTTGTGGTTCCCACTAGTAAAAAATGA